CTAATTCCAGAGGCCCAAACATCAAAGACAAATATGAGCAATGGAGAAGGGCAAGAAAAGGGCTTTAATCAGGAGGGCCATGCTGGGAAGCAGAGACACAGGCTCAAGATCTGTCTTTAAGGTACTGACGAAAACTTTGAGACTTTCTAGTAAAATGGAACCAAGGCAGGGGATGGTGGTCTGCATATCTGGGGGGTTTGCACAAGAGGCTGGGCAGATAATTCCAGTCACACCAGTGGTTTGGCTGATCATATCTGGAGACTACTTCTGTGAGGTGGCCTCAGAGAATTCCTTATGGTTTGAGGGAAGAATCAGGTTCTCCTGAAATGACTGTTCTTCCGGGGGGTGGGGATGGGGGGAGTGTCTTATAATAGGGTGGTCTGTCTTCGAGGCTCACCTGTCCCTCACATCCAAAGTGACTGTAGGTTTAAGGTAATGACTAGCTGAAGCTTATTTGCACAGTTATATCTTTTGTACTGGCAGTATCTCCACACCTCCTTTATTACTGAGTACCAGTCTTTCAAAGAACCACTTTAAATGTTAACTTTTCTCTTTCCTAGTTTTCTTTCTAGCATCCCTAACCCCCTTCTCCCCATTTTTGAGACAGGGTCTCACTAAGTCACTAAGTTGCCCAGGCTGGGCTTGAACCTGTGATCATCCTGCCTTAGGCTCCCCGGAGTGCTAGGATTACAAGCATGTGTGTGCTATTATGCCTGGTTCAGTCTTTTATATAAAAAACAATCTCTCAGACTATAAACTTCCCTTTAAACAGTATGAAATGGGGAGAGAGATCTTTTGCAAATGGAAAGGGGATCTAGAGATGAAGGGAGGAAGAAAGGGGAAAAAAGATTAAAATGTGTCACATACATGTACCAACCTTTTACCATAAATGGGGTAATTATGTGCTGCAAACATATACTAAAATTAAAAAAAAATTTTTAAAATTCAAGTTCTGCTATACTGTTTTCACTGTCAATTTTCTTCTTGAACTGAGTTATTTACAGAAGTACCAGATACAGAATTCCCTGATGTTATCACTGAATCTTAGTTCAGTTGCATTATGATCACAACATATTTCTGTGTCCCCATCTTTGAAATTTAAAGTAACATAGCCTACTATTCCATTTTACTGACCTATCCCACATACAGTGACTATAGTTTTTAAATTTTTCACACAACTTAACAGTTTTTTCCTCAATACACATTTTGACTGTATTACAGGGGGTATACAACTTTGCAATAGTTTATTCTAGGAGCAACTAGGTGGCTTTTTTGTTACTAGTACAATTAGAATTTTCTGGATTACAAATTTTCCCAGTATACTTTCTACTTGTTTATTTCAACACCTATGCACTCTCATGTTAAAATCTTTGCCATAACTGAAGCATTTAATCAATTTTCATGTAGTGAAAAAGTGGACAATATGCTCAGTAGATGGGTGAGAGAGAGGATAGAGAAGACATAAGAGAGAGAAGAGAGCAACAGAAACATACCATTTAAGACAGAATCAAAAAGGCCCGGTGTGGTGGTGCACTGTAATCCTAGCACTCATGAGGCTGAGGAAGGAGGATTGTGGCAAGTTAAGAGGCCAGCCTAGAATACAAAGTGAGTTCAAAGCCAGCCTGAAATGCATAGCAAAATCGTGTCTCTAAAAGACCAGAAGACAAAGACAAAAACAACAACGAAGAAGACAAAGAAGAAAAGAATTTTTTAAATGCTCGAAATAGGAAAACATCATTATAGAAGTGAACAATGCCATTAATAGGTTTATCAAGACTAGACACAACTGAGTGAAGAACCCATGGCCTTGAAAAAAATCAGTAAAAACTATCAAACCTATGCATAAGCCAAAATATTTTCTTTAAAAAAAAAAAACTGAAATGTGAAGAGAGGTAAAGAAAAACAAAATCTAAGAACAACGTGTTATATATAAGTAACAGAAAAGCTACAGAGAGAAGAAAAAAAGGTGTAATATATACACATAATGGAAAAACAAGTAGAAAAACCTAAAGAAATATTTGAAACAATGACAGAATTTTTCAGAACTAATGACAAATACCAAACCATAGATACAAGATGCTCTGAGAATAGCAAGCAAGATAAATAACAAAACCAAAACCAAACCCTCAAAAACTGCATTTAGGCATATTATATTCAAACTGCAGAAAATCAAAGAGAAAAATCCTAACAGAATTCAGAAGAACAAAATACTTTAGTACATGTGTAGAAGCAAAGGTAAGAATTACATTGTACTTCACAAACCATGCAAGAAATAACACATGAAATATTTAAACATTATACCAGGAGTCTTAGCACAGTAAGACATTAAAAAGTATACAGATGGAAAGAGAGAAAAATCTTTGCTTGCAAATAACATCACCAGCTACAAAGAAAATGCCCAAGAATGAACAAAAACCCTCCTGGAACTGGTAAGTGATTACAGCAAAGTTGCAGGATACAAGAGAAACCCAAGTTCATTGCTTTCTTATATTAGCAATGAACAATTAGAATTTTAAGAAAAACACAGTATTACTTGCAATAATAGCAAAAGGAAACATGAAATCCTTAAGTATAATTCTAACAAAGTACGTATAAGGTCTACATGAGAACAATTACAAGATTTCACTGAAAAATAAAAAAGAATTAAATACTATGGAGAGATATTCTTTGTTCACGGATGGAAAGTTAGCATCTTCAAGATGTCAGTTCATGCCAACTTGATCTGTAGAATCAACACAATTCTAATAAAAATTGAAGTTATTTTGCAGATAGCAACAAACTAAGTTTGTATAGAAAGGCAAAGGATGCAGAAGAGCCAACACAGTATTGAAAAAGAATAATGTCCGAGGACTGATTTTACCTATTTGGTCTTGACAGTTGTGTTTGTGAAAGAATAAACAGATCAATGGAACAGAATGGACAGCTCAGAAATAGCCCAACATACATATAATCAACTGATCTTTCAGAGTGCACTGCTGGGACTACAGTGGTTTTTTTTTTCTGGTACCGGGAATCGAACTCAGGATGTTGCGCTTGCCAGACAGATGTTGCGCTTTTGCTGCTGAGCTATACCTCCAGCCCCTAATCAACTGATCTTTGATTCTGGGACAAAGACAATAAAAGAGAAAAGATAGACTTTCCAACAAATGACACTGAACAACTGGACCTTCACATGCAAATCCATCCATCCATCCATATACCCACCTACTCACTCACTCACACATCTTCCACCTTTCACAAAAATTTATTCTAGATGGAACACAGATTAAAATATAAAATACAAAAAGGCAAAAATCAAAATGACCTCTGGTATACTAAATGCTTTTTTTTTTAGAATACCAAAAACACAATCTATAGAAGAGCTGGTATGCCAGATTTCATGAAAATTGAAAACTTCTGCATCATGAGTATAGGCTGGAAAAAAAAATTCTTGCTAAATACATATTTGAGAAATGGCTGCTATGAAAATATACCAGGAACTATTAAAATTAAGTAAGAAAATAACCTGACTTTAAAATGTGCAAAAAGTAGTATACAAATGACCAGGCACATACAAAGATGGCTAGCACCTATTAATCATTAGAGAAATACAAACCAATTATCAGGTAACATTTCCAACCCACTAGGACAGCCATAATAAATGTTGGGGAGGATTGCTTTTTGGGGGGAAAGTAGGGGTACTGAGGATTGAACCCAGGGGCACTCTATCACTGAGTTATATCCCCAATCTTTTCATTTTTTTATTCTGAGACAAGTCTTGCTAAATTGCCTAGGCTGGCCTTGAACTTGTAATGATCCTACCTTAGCCTCCAAAGTAGCTAGAATTAGAAGTGTGTGCTAATGTGCTCAGCTTGTTGAGGATTTGAAGAAACCAGAATCTTGATACAATATTGGTGGTAATTTAAAATGGTGTAGCTACTCTGGCAAAGTCTGGAAGTTCTTCAATATGTTAAGTAAGAGATGCCCTATGACCCAGTAATTCCACTCCTAGGTACATACTAAGAGAAATACAAACATGTATCCACATGTTTGTAACAGGAAAAATGTGGGATACCCCACATTTACTTACTAGTGGACAAATAAACAAAGATGATAAATCCACAGTGTTATTATTCAACCACAAAAAGGAGTAAGAAACTAATACATACTATCACATGGATGCACCTTGAAACCCTGGCCACTGGTGGTGAACCTAGGTCACATGTGCTGCAGTGGGTGTTTGTGTTATCCTTGAAAGCCTAAAAAGTTTTCCATCATGGCCGCAGGCCAAAGGAAATAAAGCTAAACACAAAGAGCCACTTTGTATGATTCAATACACATAAAATGTTCAGAATAAGCACAAAAACAGAGATACAAAGTAGATTAGTAGTTGCTTAATGCCAGGGTGCAGTGAGATGAATGGGGGATAGGGAGTGACTGCTGATAAGAGATGAGGTTTCCTTTTAAGGTTAAGAGATGCTTGCATTTCAAATAGCATGTGGGTATGATTTCCAGGGACACCAGGTTAAGTGACTCTTGTTCTAATTTTAAAGTACTAAGTCCAACAATGATTTGGGTCAGGTTGGTAGCCTCAGGAGACTAAAAATAAAGTACATTTATACCTACACTTATATTTTATAATTAAATGTGGTGTGCCTGGCCCAGATGAGGTGGTGAATACATGAACACTACATACAGAATTTCTGTAGCCTTATACTGTACACAGCATGCTGGGTCTACAAGGTATCACTATATACCCGGGTTCACTGTAAGATCTACTTGTACAGTAGTTATTATCTCCATTGTGCATGGTCCTAAACTGTATCTCATCAACAGCTCTTCTCCAATTAGGCTCTTGCAGTCTAGAAGGCCACTGTGCCAACTTGCTCCCAAATTCCCAACACCAACACCTCTACCACCTACTCTAAACATTACCTCCTGCTTTTCTCTCTTGGTGATCCCTGCTAAGGTTATTAAAATTTCACAATCAGCACAAGTCAAATGAAAATAGTTATCCATCATTTCTTCATTAACAAACATTTATTGAGCACCTACTATGCACCACATACCATGTTAGGCTCCGGAATGCAAGACAGTACTCCTGCTCTCATGGAGCTTACAATCTAATAGACACAAATAACACAGTGAACCAATACATAAAATTGCCACAGGGTGCACTAAGTGCTATATAGCATATAAACAGTGATACGACAGAAGATTGGAAATACCTACTTTGAAAACAGAAAGATCAGTAGCTGGGGGTATGGCTGGCTCAGTGTTAGAGCCTATGGTTGGCATGTATGAGGCCCTGGGTTCTGCAACCAGTACTCAATAAAAAACCACAATGATCAGGAAAGACCTGAAGTGGTTAAAAACTGGGTTTGAGATCTAATTCCCCACTTGCTGTATGACCTTAGGCAACCGTTGGTTCGCTTACCCTCTCAATCTGTTTTTACACTTGCAAAATGGAGATAATCACACCAAACTCTACAGTGAATGTTCATTATTGTTAATAATCAGAAAAAGCTTCTAATGTCTTCTGTTTTATAAGCCCTTCATTATCTTTCTCTCCTTCAGAAGCAGAGATTTTTGACAGAAGCACTCCATCAGGGAATAAGGGCAGCACCTATCACCCCTTGAAAAATATAGACTATAACAGAGCCCACATTACTGAGAGTTGCAGGTAATGGTAGGACCTCAGGTGACAGGCAAATATGCAAAGGCAAAGCAGTGAAGAGTAAAAAGTAAAAGGGTGAGATGTAACCAAGACAGTTTAGGACACAGTGAATGTTACCCATTCTGAGTGACCAGCACATGCACAGCATATAAGTGAATGAAGGTGAAAATGGAAGACAAGGGAGTTGTAGTTCTTAAAAGACTGCAGGAAAACCACAGAAGCTTCCTGATACCTCCCGCTTAAATTCATTTCCCCTAAATGACCAGCCACACTGCCTCTTGTCTCTGTAAATAGCACCACCTTCCTCCAAGTTACAACAGGACAGAAAGATAACAGCCCCCGAATGAGGGATGGACACAGCCCTTACTCCTACCTGTGTTTAAGTCACTGAATTTGTCTTTTTGCAACAGGGTCTCCCTATGTTGCCCAGGATGGCCTCAAACTCATGGCAATTCTACTGCATCAGTCTTCAATTATCTTTTGAAAGGGCTCTGGCATCCACTTTTCCTAATAATTACTATGGCTATAATCTGAAACTCATTCTCTTAATTTTGTCTCAATTTTCATACTAGTCTCCCAAATATCATAGCTGGTTCATATCACTTCAATTTTAGTCAGAAGGCTTTTGAGATAGTCTGTCAGACTCCCAAGCCCATTAAGTCATTCACTGTGATGTTGGGAAATTTATCACAATTTTCCTTCATTTGTAAAGTGGAGATGCTACTTTCCTTTGAAAGGCTGTTGGAAGGAATGAAACATCCTCATAAAGTTCTTAGCAGAATGCCTGTTCCTTAAGTATTCCTGATCTTTAATAAATGCATTATAAGCTCTTTGAAGCCTGAGACTACACCTTTTGTAATTACTTTAACCTACATACTTACAAATACTCAGTTCATGAACACTTGTGTTTGCAAACAATTTGGAAACAAAAGTGTTTAGCAATATTTTCCATTTGCAAGCTCCACATCAAACACAACCACAGCCACCCTCCTCACACAAACAAGAATGCAGCCATCTACCCCAAATTCAAAAGACAAATTAAGTTTGTAAACTGAGATACCACTGTACACTACACATTTGTTGAACAGTCTAACAACCCCCAAAGAAAGAGGAATTTTCTATTTTACAACACGCTTTACTTAAAGAGTTACACTTCAAGAACACTGAATAAATTAAGTTTTAAAAGCTATTCAGAAACAAGCAGCAGTATGGGAAGTAATAAATGTAGTATGCCAGTAAAAAAAAAAAAAACGCTACTCCTGAAACATCTGAACATAGAAATATGCTTTCTTTCCCCATGGTGTCCTTAGAACACTAAGAGTTTAGAACTGATTGGCAACATAAGATAATTCAAAGTGAAACAGGCAGAGATGGATCCTGTTTGTATTTTAGCCTTATCACTTTTCCAGTTTGGGATGGACTATCTTTGCCTCAGCAGATCCTACTGGCTTTAGAGAGCTCAGAAAGGCCAAAATGGAGCCTACAAGAGGAAAATGAGAGCTGGCTACTGAGGGCTGGCCCTAGGCACAAATGGTTAAAAAGACTAAAAATCAAAATTCCCACAATGTAATCTGAGGAGTATTTACTTCACAGTGCAAGTAAAATCAGTTGCTATCCATATGTACATACTTCTGGAACATGTCAGTAAATGCAGTCAACCCTCCAAAGCCAAGGGTTCTACATCTGTAGAGCTGACCAACTGCAGACTGAAAATATTTGGAAAAAACTGCATGTGTATTGAGCATGTAGACTTTTTCTTCTTCTCACTATTCCTTAAACAATATAGTATAACAACTATTTACAAACATTTAACTTTATTAAGTATTATAAATAATCTAGAAATTATTTAAAGTATATGGGTGGATTGTGTAGGCTATTCGCAAATATTCCCACTATAAGAGACTTCAGCATCTGTGGATTCTGATATTTGAGAAGCCAGTTCCAGAACCTATCCCCTACAGGTAATGAGGGAACTAGTACTTAAATCTCAGAAAGCCTAGGAAGTTATCTGCTAATTATCTCCTTAGCCCAATTGACCAGTATCATAAGGCTAATGGATCTTATTGTTGTTGCCTACATACAGATAAATGTTACGTGTTCTAGAAAAATACACCTAGACAGCCCTCTCATACCATTTGGTGGGGAATAAATGACCATAACTACTTAGAAAATTGAGTCATGAACTACAAAAGTGTTCCTACCCTTGACGCAGAAATCGTATCTCTTGGAATTCAGCCTAAGGAAAATAATTTATTATACAGTCTTTGTAACATTGTGAGGTTAAATCTAAAACATCCAATGAGAAAGATATGAATCATGGCACATCCATACAGTGGAATATTATGTAATTAGTAGTGGCTGACACAGCTGTTAACTGCATGGAACAATGCCTGCAGACTGAGGGGAAAACCAAGGTACAAATTATACTGAGAATGAATAAATCTGTAAAAAAAATATGCACAAGTAGCAGAGAGCCTGGCAAGAAATATGCAAAAATATCAAATGAGGCTCTTTTTAGCTGGTGATAAAAATTCTCTATACTTTTCTGTACTGTCTAAAATTTCCACAATAAGCATGTCTTACTGACATGAACAGAAAAAACAAAATCATATTCAGTCAGGCAAGCACTGAAGAGTGGGGCAAATACTTTTACACAGCTTTGTTTTTGTAGTATGTTTCTAACCAAAAAATAAGACAGGGATACAAACCACTAGCTTATATAGTAGGGCCAGACTCTTAAATAATGGAGAAATTCTTAAATTCTTTTCCACAAATTTCACCAGTGCATGTAGCACTGTAGCAGAAAAGGTGCCGTGTTCCGTTGATCCATCAATCATCCATTAAAATGATGATGTCAAGCTTCCACAACACATACACCAGTGCCACTAAATCCAACATCAAACTCACGCTTAAGCAGGGTATTCAGTCAGGAAATAATTTCTTATGACATTACATAGAAATCGGGAAAAAGCTGCAGGAAAGAATTTTTTTTCCTTAACCAATTGATGACTAAGGAGAAAGGCCTAACAACTAAATGAATGCTTTGTAAAAACTAACAATGCAACTAACTGGTAGAAGATAAAGACATGTGGGTTACTAAACTAAGTGTCCAGGACTGGCCTGAGGGCATATAAAAATCAAAATAATTTATTTCACACCACTTCACCTACAATTCAACATATGAGCTTTCTTTGAATTCGTTAAGACTACCATAAGGGAAACTTGCTTCACGTCAAGAGTTATGGATCAACTAAATTACACTTTGGTTCTATCCTTTATCTACACTTGGTATTTTTATCCTACCTTCCTCGGAATACATCATCAAATAAATGCCACATAACCCATATTCACCTCAACTGTTTTATTGACCTTTAAAATTATCCCAGGACACATGTCAAGTACTTAAAATTTCTCAGCAGAAATGAGAATTAAATCATAAAGTTGCTCACTTATGGGTCAAAAGGCTAGTGAGTATAAGCAGGCCTTAGAAGTAAAGGTATATTCACCACCAACTACACTGTCAGGAGTTACCAAAGAAAAGCCCTTCACAGTTCTACATAAATGAAGATTAAAAATATAGGTAATCTAAGTGTCTATAAAAGTAACAACTGGTTTCTTGCTAATTGACATCTAAGTAACAGCTAAGATAACCCCCTTAGTCTATTGTACTTGGGTAAGGAGAAATCTAGACTAGCAAAACATAGGGCTAAAGAGTTAGAATCTTTGTACAAACAATTATAGCAACCATATTAAACAAAGGTACTGGCTTAAAAACCATAATGCTCACTCAGTGCCAAGACATGAAGAAAAAGTACTCATCTTCAAAGACAGCTACACAAGTTAAGCCCCAATTTTAAGATTAAAAACTTAAAAGTTTAAGAGTTAGTTGCCTGAGATAAAATAAACATTTACATGTAACTTAAGTGTACAGCACCAAAAATGAACACTAACACTATTCATATAAAATAATGACAAGGTATCACAACTACGAAAGCAGTTATCAGTTATAAGAAATAAGTGAATAATTTCAATTCATCTTCTCATTTTCTTTATAAAATGTTAAAGTGGGGGAGGCTTTGATAATCTAAAGTGTAACCAAGTAAGAAATATGCTTTATTTCTTATTAACAAATTATACCACACAATTAAAGTTACTTTTTCTGATACGGAGTTAACATACTACATTCATACTTAAGAGCACATTTCTTTCTAGTAGAAAAGAATTTTATCTCTGGATAAAACCTGGACTCAAACCTAGTGGCTAAGAAGTTAAAACTGCTGACACTGGTTCAACCTCTGCTAGAAGAGTTGAGATTGCTTTTGTGTTTCTACACCTTTAATAGGTGGCTCTCCTTAAGGGGTACTATAGTAAATATGGGGATGATGGAGCCAAAGGAATGTGGAAAACTACACATTGAAAGAGCATAAACAGAGTGCACAAAGGCCATGAAACTTGAGGAGGTACAAAAAAACAAGCAAAGACAAGAAGTCAGCTCCCCGAAGTTACACCTACTTTGAAGTAATGTGTCCCTGGTTAAAACTGGAAGTGTGGAGTCCTCTTGTTGGCAGGTCAGCTAGAGAAATCAGTTAGATTAGCCATGAAAAGAATGACTGTTTTAAAGTGGATACAGCTAAAGAAGAGAAAGCTAAACATCAGCAAAGTACTAAATCCTTCAGAACTCAAAATTTCCTTTAGGAAGCCAAATGAAGCAAACTACAAAACCTGGATGAAAATGTCTCCCTACAAGTAAAACTCAGTTTTCTGAGCAATTTACAATTAAACACACCAGGAGTGGTTTTCAAATTACAGCTGGCAGAGCCACCAGAATGGAGTGTTGCAGCACAGGGTAGAGAGAGACATGAAGTGGGTGGACTCCATGTCCCTTCCCAACTCTTCCTCACTTCAATCATTTCTCATTTTGTGATTTCAGACCTTTTAATTTTTTTTTCTTCAATCAAGATTTCCTTTTTAAAAAGGTAGAAGAAATCTGATGCTGTTGCCCATGTCTTTTCCTTAAATTTGAAAATCAGTGCTAAGGCAGAAAAAACACTGATGAGCAACATGAGATCTAAAATACAATTTCTGTCAGTGCCACTAAAATGTGTAAAGTTTCAACGAAGATGTGTATACTATCCTATAAGCTCTCAGAAGTAAATTTTCTTATTACCATATCCGTAAATCTGTTCTGCTGCTGCCTTCAAACTATGTTCCGGACATCATGAAAAAAAAATCTAACAAACTTTCCAACTGCACCTTACCTCAAAGGCTGGAAACAATTTCTTTCCTAAGAAGGCAGCCTCAAATGTATAGAAAACTCTAGAATGAGAATGTACAGTTAACAAAAAATAACATTATGTCAGGGCAGGATATGCATAGTGTTCTTAAACATCATCACTAATAAAGAGCAGCCAAAGGTCAGAACTTTACTCTGCATTCATTAGCAAACAGTGTCAAAGTATAAATGACAACCGGGGGAAAATACACAACACAGAGGTCATTTTTCTTTGATGGAATCATGAAGAAAAGTGGAACTGTAGTTCCATTGCAGTGGAACCCAACCTCTGGCCAGTGACTGAGACCTCATTACCTCAATAAAATAGCATAAATCTCTGTGGAACGGCTTCATTTAGCAAACATGACTTCTTTCCATATATTTTTTTTCTTCCACATTGAGTTAAACAGAAGTTGCTATCATTCTAGAATCAGTGATTACATTTTTTAATTAGAAAAGTTTAAATATTTACATGATTTTTATTGCTGTTTGTAACAAAAATTTTAAAATAATTTGTAGAATCCATCCAGTAACATACGAAATTGAAATCCACTGCTCAAGACACTGTTTATGGCAGAATATATCTGATGCTTAGCACATGGCATGTATAAGAGTCCTTGCCTGTCATTAAGTTCTTGCTGCTGTCATCTACGTTCATCTCTCAGAAAGCGAAAGAATCCATCTGATGTTTCAATAAATATCAAATTGCCAAAAAAAAAAAAAAAAAAAATTAGCTTCCATGGACCAGAGATCCAAGAAAAAGCAGTTTTGATGAATGATTCCCAGAATCAAGTGCGTCCTTCTTTAGTCCAATGAGATGATGTCGGGAATGCTACTTCCACTGCTGGTTATGACCCCTGTCTCACTCCTGCTTCTGGATGAACTAACATGAGTACTGCTTTCATGGGGGCTGGTGGTGGTGACAGACGTACTGCTTGCTGTTAAGGGTGAGGTGAGACTATCCAAAAACATAGGAGGACAGTACTGCTTGAAACAAACAATGATGCCGATGAGGAAGAGGCTACATTGGTTTTAAACAGAGACTAGAAATTGTTAGATATGCACAAATGATAGCTACATATTTAAATCCTCCTGAGACTTAAAAATATCCAAAAACTTCTCATCTTTGGATGGAAGATGACATGAATTTAGCTATTTTACATTCTCTAGAGAACATAGCACATTTTGTACTCTCTCAAAACTGGTGAATGTTTGTTGAGTATACCAGAGGTAAAAGTAATAATGTCAACAATAACTGAAGAAATTTAATATAAAATATGGGCCCCACAATCATGTCTCATACTTACTCTCAAAAATAATTTGCTTCGTGTTTAGACAGAGTTTAAACTATGAAAGTACAGGAAGTACTCATTTTTCATGGTATTATACAAAAATGCTATTTCAAAATTCAACAACTCCCCAAAATTTAGTATCAAATAGACCCTTTATAAATAATAAGAATGACCAGCTGATGGCATTGCACTCTTTTGTACATATATACATAACAATACTTGAAGAGATCCAATCTTCCTTGTTATGCTTGATATCCCTCTCTAAGTGCTATTACCATATTAGTTGTTGATTTCCATACAAATACAAACTTGAGTATAATGTCCTAATAATGACCAAGAGTGGAGAGAATAGCTAAACACATTTTACATATACCAAAGAATATTTTATGTGAGAAACAATGACCAGCAAAAATAAATGATGTCTAGTAATACACTGTATGAAATTTTGTTTGTCCTGAGACTGTATGAAAGATCAGTAAATATATGATTAGCTATTATGCATTTATATATCATTCTGCTTATTCTCAGAAAGAATACCTTATGAATAAATATCTTATGAAAAGTAATTTAAAATTGAAGTTGTTTAGACAACAAAATTTTCAAGGCCCATAAATAAAACAGGAGCAACAGCCCCAGATTTAAGCTGCCAATAAGAGGAAGAGCACCAACTAAAATTCAGGCTGCCTTTCAAAGGAGTTAAATTAAATGTTTTGGTGGTTAACTCTTGATTTCATCAATAAAATGAATGACACATGCAAAGAGACTTAAGGGAGAATAAGAGGTCAGAAGGTTAGTTCTTAAAGAGCGTCTAAGAAGCTTTAACATGTTCGTGACAGTCATGCATCTCAAGGTGGCGGGAACATGTTAAAGATATTTAAATGATATGAAAAATTGTTGTCCAAAATCAAATCAATTTCTAACTTCTCTAGCAAACCAACTGTACTAGAACTGAGGGAAAATTGGGGGAATGGCCAGAAATTTACATATTTTATTCCTGCTACCTTCAGGCTGTTTTTAATTGCCTCATAGTAAAAAAAGGTAAATAACCCTCTTCATTTATAAAGTAAGGTATATAAGCACAGTCTTGCTATCAATAGACTCTGTATCTTGAATTCTACTCATGTTGCAGCCATTTTACTTTCAACCCTGTGTATATAGCTACACAAGGATAACAGAAAATAAGCAGCAATACAGGAGTAGGAAAACCTAAAGATCCTTTGGTAAAAGAAGGTACAATTTCATCCTCCTACTGACTTATCAAATAAATCAGTCCCCAGATATGGTGGCACATGCCTGTAATCCCAGCTACGCTGGAGGCTGAGGCAGAAGGATAGTGAAAGTGTGGCCCACCTGGGCAACTTAGTGAGACTTGTCTCAAAAAATATTTAAAAAGGGCTGGGCATGCAGTTCAGTATTAAGAGGCCCTGGTTAACTCCCTAGTATGGCCAAAATAAAAAGAAAAAAACAAAAGAAAATCACTTTGCCACTAAGCATGCCAAATAGAAATACAAAATAAAACCCTTAGATTCCAAGATTTTTTAAAATGGCTGTTCACATAAAACTGTTAATCTTTTAAGTCTAAGAATCCACTTCCTAGGAAAGTAGATACCTTCATTTTACAATCTACCAACACAAGGTCAACTCACGATGACAAGAAATTCCTCAGTCTGTTTATTATCTTAGGCCCAAATTTCCCATGCTATTTGTATGCTCAGATAGAATACTGCAACAGGAGGCCCATACTATACTTGCAGTTAGCTGATTCTGAGCAGCCCTTGGAAGCAGTAGTTCATACTCTTCCTCTATCTATCCTTCCCTACGTGTCACAACGGCTCTCAAAGTTTCTTTTGCTGTTTGAACTGTCCTGCCTCTGCTCTAAGCCTAGTCAATGGAATCCTTGCTTGCTACACAGTTTTGAAGTTGAATTTTGACACCCTCAATGTCTGAATCTGACTATTCTTTAAAAAAAAGGAGAAATGAGCTATTAAGTCAAATCTGTTTAATGAGCTTAGGCTGATGGTGTTTCTATGTATCAAATATGTTTTTATGCATACAAAAAAATTTTAACCTCCAAGCACCAAGCATGGCTTCTACACATTCTAATTATTCAGGAGCTTGTAAGAAAGAGCAACTGATAGTTGAATACAATATAATTAAAATTTTAGGTATTAAAGGAAAAACTAAGTTAAAAAACATCAACTGTACTGCTCCAAATGAAAATGTGAAAAATGTATATAGTACATACTTCCTACTTCTTTTTTATCAGTGTAACACAGTTGACTGTCCTGATTTTATGCAACTGGTCACGTTTAGTTAGTATGACATAACCAATAACCAAATACAAATTAGTTGCTTAAATTCAGGATACATACCTGGGGATCAACTGGAATAAGGGAAAGAAAATCCAAACCTAAAACAAAAATGTTTTGTTAATAGTTGTCTCATATTTTAGAGACCAGAATTATTTTTCCCAAATCATACTGTGCTTATCATAAATCACAAAACAGTTGGATGCTTACCACTATGTCACAGGGAAGTACTAAACCATGATCAATGATATTTAATGTGTATAAAACTCAAAGATTAACATATTCCCCCCAAAAACATCTGGAAAACCACCTCCTAGAACTCAAAGGCAGCAGTCCAAAAATTTCCAGAGAAGGAAGACTAGTCAAAGTAAGTATTTTTTTTTTCTTTGTCACTTAACAGAACAAGCAGAAATAAAAATGATGAGATAATGATCATCAGACCATTAAAGAAAACCATACTTCGTCTCTTAAGACATTTCACATTTATTTTTCAGAAATACACTACATTGAAGTTCATCTAAAATATCACTTCTTAAACAAGTATCTATTTCACTGAAAGGAAGCACTTAATAACTGCTACCCACTAGCAAGTTAATGAAAGTTTATTGGGTTCTCAGCTAATGCAGTTTTCTAAACCAATGAATTGGGATTCTCCAATTATGTTTTAGAAACAGAAATGTAAAAGTGTAAAGAAGTTATAACACTAAAAAACCTTCAAGCCTGAAAAAGTATAGCAATAAACCTCAAAGTCAGTTGTTCTAGAACGCCCTATATGACTAAATTCTTCTCAATTATTTTAGAAGATTTTCAAAAGAATCACACACTAAGCATTGGTCATCAAGATAGGTTGGTGTCTATTCATTCAAATCTGTGAAATTTTATATAATGGCACTTGGCATCACGTCAAATGCAACAACATGGAGTGAAATTCTGATACTATACTCAGAATAGAAAATATTAGTGGAAATATTTTAAATATTTAATAAGCACTGTGAATAATTTTAACATCCAAAATTTAAATTATATTTATTCCCTTATAATCTCTAAATAAGGACATTTAAATGATTATCAAGTGATACAAACTTTAGCACCAATCATATGAAAACAATTTCTAAAGCATCTTAAAAAATTGTTGCTATACATGTTTATTTCATATACCTACTACTAGCTATATGATACAGTATTTGGAGCCACCAATGGACAAAGGGAACCACAATGAACTTTTTCAAGAGCTTCCTCAAAAAACTGGTAATGGGCAAGTGATGTATCTCAAGCAGTGTACTTTGCTTCACATTAAGGATAATGTTCACTAAATCTTATCCCCGCTTCTCCTGAATAGTAATTCAAAATCTATATAGCCCTCACATACTTTCTGAAAATTTTAGATAGCCAGTATTTTTAAGTCAAAAAGATTTTGCTTTGCTTCAAATGGTGTAACATTATCTTCATTTTTATAGTAGCTTCTACTTTTAAATACATTTTTAGTTTCATATTTCCATTACATTTAATATTTTTCAATCAATTTTAATAACTGAAAGTTTTTATACAGCTAAAGTATTGACATCTCTGATGGAATAGTGTGTACAAGTCACTTGAAAACACTCATTTTCTAGATGTTCAACTACTTCCATTCATTAATTTCAATTTAAATAAACACAGGATTAATATAATATTCAAACTGTTTTTGAAGCTCTATCACTTAAGGATATGCACTGAAGTCCAAAGACTTTACTTATTTAAAATATCCAGCTCTTCAGACACGTTGCAATTCTCTTTGATGGTTTTACATGTGCCAACAAATAGTCTATTTAGAAAAAGATTTAAGAGATTTACTTCATCTGTATCTTTTCATAATACCCAGGGATAACTAAAATATGGTGACTTACACAATGACATAATACACATTTTTCTAAAATTTTGGTTGAAACTAGATTGTCATTCAAACATTACACAGGTGGTCAATTCAAAGTCCAATGAGGTTTTAATGTATTTCTCAAAGAAGCCACTTTGCCCCAAACAGTGCAGTCTGATATAGTATTTCAGATGTTATTTCTTCTAATAAAAAAATTGTATCATCAAAATCTTACATTTTATATTTTAAGTAGATTAAAAGTCATGAAATAAAGTGATAGCAATAGTGATTAAAATTTATTAATTTTTAAAAGTGTCACAAAATGCTAGTTCCTAATTTTACTGTAAGTTTCAACTGTCATACATACTGATATACTTTTTAACCTAAGAATTTCATAGTTGAAAAATACCCAATTATTTTCAACTAAAAAGCCACTAGTGTTAAAAATTCTCAAGGTACAGTCTAAATGCTTGATTTATTAACAGTGATAAAATTATAATTTTTGAATTTTAAATACTTCATTAAGTGAAACTGACTCATTTAGATTTTTTCCTCATTGATCACAACATGTTTTTCCTTACTTGATCCATAGACTTTCACAAAACATAATGGCTACATGATTAAATATGTAATTGTTTTAGCACTTTCAAATTTTAACGACACAACTTTTTAGCACCATTCGCACCTGACAATATGGCACTAGCAATAATAAGGCAGTCATATTTTTTTCTTGAAATAATCAAGCTGTTTTCCACTCCATAAATACAAATTATATGTTTTATTTTGTATTCACTGTTGCACAGTATCAGAAGATGTTCCAAGCTGCAGTTCATTATTAATAGCATTTCTTCTTTGTTCTCCTGCAGATTCAGAAGATTCATATTTATGTTTAAAAGGAATGTTAAGAAATGTATTAAAATGTTGTCATCTCTCCATTCTTGATATTCTATTTAATATTTGATTATAAAGTTATTAAATTTATTGATACCAAACTATACATTATCACTACTTACAGAACAATTATACACAAAAATAAAACAAGGTAATGAATTATCAACCAGCACATTAACAACAAAAATCAAAGTGTAAGCTAAACTATTTAGATGCAGTAACTGCCAAATATTGTAATTTGCACTTGACAATAAACTAGCAATTCTTCTGAAGGACAACTGAACCTTTTCTATTTAGTTATCAATTGGTAAGAAAACTTTTCAGCATTTTAACAATCAGATATTGGTTTATACCAAGTAAATACTAGCCACGGATATCAGTATTTCCTCAATACCAGCTCGATGCATTTTACCAAACACACAGTTCAGACATATGTTATTGTATTAATTCTGTACATTTTAAAAAGACTTAAAATCTCATTTCATGAAGTTCAATTTTGAAGTAAGGTTAAGTTCTCTCAAGGTAAAAATAATTCATCCAGACTCATATAATTTGAAAACTAGCAAGTCAAGTGATTTTTTTTAAGTTTGTCTACGCTACTACTAAATAGCCAGGGTCACCAACAGAAACATTCACTAACCTTTTTTCAGGATTGATTTTCAATTCAAAATCTTCAGGAAACAAATTATTTTCAAATGCTTGCTTATAACACATACTAATATGATACACAATGTTCTAATTAGCCCAAGTTAAAGTGACACTTAGGAATTAGTATTATATGAACTATCTTTGTCACAGACTATGAACTTTCCATCTATATGTTACATTATTATCAGCTCTTGTACTTTATAATGGGTGCTACTTGGTTTTTAAAAATTTTAAAAATACTAATTCCCAAAGTATATACGGAATAATATATAAAAAGCTAAAAGTATGATTTTAAAAGATTTTTGATTGCTACTATTTAGCCTACTCTTTTACACTAAATTTTATTCAAATTATCTGAAAAAAGTTCACATGCCAAAATTATACTGGGCTGGATAACAGAACTATCGATTGTTTCAATAACACAAGCTTTACCCAATGAAGTAAAGAATTTTGCTTAAAATACCTAACCTGGAAAAATAAGTCATAGATCAAAATCAACTTCATAAATCAAGAAAATTAGTAATAAAAGGAGGGCAATGCATTTCACTAAATGCTCCTCCAAACAGAAGGTCATGAATCTAAGAGACTGATTCTAACTTGCTTAAATTTGACTGCATCAAATGTACACAAAAACAATGGCTACAGAGAAAGGGTAAGTGAAGAGGGAAAGTTTAAATTTTGTAATATGAGCCTGGTGCTTAAGTACTGGTATTAAAGTAGTTTAAACTACTCTGAATTCTTTAAATGTTGACTTATTACATATATAAAAGACATCTCCAAATATATAAAGCTCTACTCTATAGAAAAATACAGCAGACCCTGGTTTTAGGGGGAAATTCCACAGGGTATAGCTGGTAGGCAAAACTACTTCTATATGCTTTAAAGTCCTGATGAGCTATTAAAGGAATGTGATACCAGGAAGACTATGAGAAAATATTCTCCCTAACCTACAAAAGTTCTAAGATAAACCAGAAAGTCTGAGTATAAATTCTCTACAAGGCAGGACACATTTCATCAAATTTTACTATTCTCCATTATTTCCTATCATCTGAAACCTATATTTAGTCAAAATGAAAACTGAGTATGCTATATTAAAACGGATACTACTTTTGCATGATGCCTTCCAATTTCTCTAGCACTTCTACTTGAAATTTCAAAATTTATTTGGTCCACTAATATTAAAAACAAATCATAAAAGCAAACAAAAACTCTCCACATACCTGGCAAATCTGATGACATGCTTGATATTGGCGTGTGGTGGAATGGCACAGAGTAGTCTGTTAATGAAGGTGGAATAGCAGCAGGATCAACTGACGTCACACTGGGCACCCTTATAGAAGATGGCTGATACATGAGAACCCTGTTTTAAATAGCATGGGAAATTACAAATAATCTGGCTGTTAGTTCACAGAAGAGAACAGCTGAACCATTGGATATTTTTAGATGTATGTTCACCAAGTCTCAACACAACTAAATGGTAGCTACTCCACTTTCCTAACAGTCTTCATTTTAACATGAATGTGTTGGGGCTCTCAAAAGCAGGTGTGCCATAAGAGCAAGTGAGCATTAAAATATAAAGTACAGTGCTGGAGTAATATGTATAAACAGAAACATACTTTACCTATGTTTTTATTAATGTATCTATAACATGCATGTGCATATTAGTAATTTACCTATAAAGAAATATTAACTAATTTTTATATATTCTAATATATAATTCTCAGGATTTTATTTAAATCAGGATACTTTAATAAGTAACAATAGCTCAACCAGAATTCTTCAAATCTAATTTAAATTGTCTTAACTGTTTGAAATTTGGGGATGATCTGAGTATAGCTAGTCAACACTGATGCCAGCAAACCTGATGGCAGTAGAGTACAATCAGAAATCAGGATAAGATGACCAAAATATGGGATTTAAAACACAGTATCCAGAAATAAAAATGTTCCACTGCATGATACTACCTACTCTTTAACAGGGTTTATGATTTAGAAATTAGCTGTTCATGCTACTAAAAATACGAATTAAAACATAAGAAATACTTTATCATTTACTATTATATATTTTGTGTAATTTAAAATTTTATAGTTTTAAGACATAAAAATTAAAACATGTTTTTGGAAAACTTCAGGCTTGAGGACAAATTCTGCAGTCTATTTAACCTGCATTTTCTCATAGCTCAAGTTAAACAATTAGAAGTTCACAAGAAAAACTTCATGAATGTGTATTTCTAAACTAAGCACCATTACTGACCATATGGCTGATGATGGCTATCTTAGCACAAAGTAATAAGGAGCAAAACATTAAGAACAGCATACTGAAAAACCAGCTACTATAAGCTTAATGACCAGTGGAAGGAACTGTCACAAAGATAAAGAAAGTACAACTTTGTTAGAAACTTAGAAGTATAATGACGAAGTTAAATTGAGATGACAACTTAGGATCTCTAGCCATCTGTTCCCGTGGTTGAAACACTTCCAATTATTGCTCAGATTACTGAATAATGGTAGTAAAAGATGATGACATAGTTGCACGACATTCTTCATATTCTAACCGGTAAATGATTTCATAACCTTGATTTAAATGTCAACCCACTTAATCAACCACTTAAATCCGAACCTTTGTAGACACTTGTATCCTAAACTTGCCTTGTATTATGTGAAACACAAGCTATTATTCTATGTTATCTGTCAAAAATACAGGTACCAAAAATATGAAAAACTAAGTTAACTTCAAAGTACACATATTGTTGTGCTGGTCAACAATGTCATTCTTCAAAGAGTAAATAAATTAATTTAGGTCAGAATTGAGAAATCGTAAGATTTAAAACTAAATTAGAAAGCATATGAAGTATGGCTGACACTGTAACATGACCTTAGTATTTCAATATGTACTTTCCAAAGGTAGATGGAGATAAATGGAAGCCATCTTCCAAAGATCAACCTGCCTCGGTTAGAATCAGTAGGTTTTCTGAATTCCAGTGGTACCTGAAGATCTAAAACCACAAGCAGGATATGAGGATGATTAGGAGAAGCAGATCTGGAGCAAGAAACCAGAAACTTTGAGTAAGACAAGTATGTTTTACCTACAGCTCATTGTTTTCTGGAGATGTGAAAATACTGGCCATGCACAGAAGTAAAAAGGGAAGAAAAGAAAATCGCTAAGTGTTTTCAAATGACACACAAATCTTCCACCTCTCAACAGTATACATCAGAAAAAAGAAATGAAGGAGGGAGAGGAACACAGTAAAAAGGAGGAGATTAGGTTGTATCTTACTGCTAGGAGAGAAGGAAAAAAATGTTTAAGTTCCAGCTGTCTCACAGTATTAACATTTTAATCTCTCTCTTTTTTTCTTTCCAAAATGTAAAGAAACAAGCTTTTTGGGCTTTATTTCTTTATTTTTGGGACAGGATCTCACAATGTACTCCAGGACAATCTTGAAGTTGCTATGTAGACTAAGCTAGCATGAAATTCATGATTGTCCTGCCTGCATCTCCCAAATGCCAGGATTACAAGCATGTACCATATATAAAGCTTCTTTTTCTTTTTCTTTTTCCCTCTCTTGTTTCTCTCTCTCTTTTTTTCTTGGCTTTTTTCTGGTACTGGGAATCGAACTCACGACCTTGCACTTGCAAGGCAGGCGCTGTGCTGCTGAGCTAAATCCCCAGCCCGCTCTCTCTTTCATCTTTTGGAGACAGGGTTTTGCTATGCAGTTCAGGCTTGCCTTGAACTCACTTTGTATCCCAGGCTAGCCTTGAACTCAGTGATCCTCCTGCCTTAGCTTCCCAAGTGCTGGGATTTTAGGCCTGTGTCACCATGTTCAGTTTACACTTCATTTTTTAAAAATTCCTACTTGAAAGTATATCTATTACCTCTTCTCTGTCACTGAAAGAACCTAAAGGAATTCCAAGGTATTGAGAGTAGAGCTTGGAGTAAAGTTCATGTATATCCCCACTCTCCCTGAAACAAAATTTCAGATTTGTAAGAAAAAAGATAATACCATTTTCCTAACACTCCTTTTCTTCCTTTGATATTTCACTGGAGATTTTTTCTCTTCATCTTAAATTGACCCTTTAACTTAAATCACATTTACAGGAAATAACCACTAAATACCCTTTCCTTCCCCAGTCCTTTGACTTAGATTTACGTCAAAGGAGTCTAAAAAAAAAAAAAAAAAATCAAGTCAATGTCCCTACATATTGACTTCATAGTCATATCAAGTCAATGTCCCTACATATTGACTTCATAGTCATATCTAACTACTACATATACATATGTCCTGTTAAATATATATTTTGATCTTTTTGAGACAGGGTCTGGCTATGAAGTTCAGGCTGGCTTGAGCTCACTTTGTAGCCCAGGCTGCCTTGAACTTGCAATGATCCTCCTGCTTCAGTCTCCCGAGTGCTGGGATTACAGGCGTATGCCACCATGCCCGGCTAAGCATATATATTTTAAATTCCTGTAACTTTATCATAGCACAAAATTAAACTGGTAGAATGCTGTTAGCAAATACGAGTATTCCAAACCATTTTTTACCATCAGAGAATTAACATGGAATTCATACTTGGCCCAGACCTGCAGTCTGAAAAGAGGTTGATGATTTTAACTCACATACCTGAAATATAGTATGCGCTCCCATTCTGTGATTATAGAAGTACAAAAATTAAAATTTAGTATCAATTCTTTATGTTTTTTGGTGGTACAGATTAAGCCCAAGGCCTCATGCATGCTACACAAATGCTATACCACTGAGCTACATCCCTAGTTCCTTAATGATTCTTCATCCCAAGAAATGCATATTTATCCATACAAACTCTTTGTATTTTTTCTTTAGACTATCTCCAACAAAGCAACCATCCAATTTTGAATGAAGGAGGCAGGAGCACACAATATAAAATTTTCTTCTGATACAGAAAAAAAAATCAGAATTTTTCTAACTGCTTTAGAAGGTACCAGTTTCTTCTGAGAGGAAATACTACACTACGTTTTATACTCTACTAGGTCTGCAACAAACCTAGAACTGTCATCAAAATGGTAAGAGCCATTCCCTCTGGGTGAGAGGCTTGCATTTTCTTCTTAATGTTCTAGTCAACAGTATTTATTAAATGTCCTTCAAGCATCTAATAAGATGACTATACTGTATAGCTGTTCTTATAACAAACCCATTTAATCAATTATTTGCTAACATTAAAGTACTGTAGAATAAAATGCACTTGGTCATACTGGATGTCATGTTAATATATAATTACATGACTTCTAAAGATTCTGAATTTTCATTTTCCATATGACTGCCTGTCTACAGAAGCAATGTGTAAATTTAGTTTGGTATTAAGAGTTATACTGACTTTACGGAAAGAACTAGGTATGTAAAATTTATATAGATTTCAAAACTTTCATGTATTAATTTAATCATGTTTCCCACCTAATGTGTGTTACTTTTTATTTTCTTTTCAAACTAGATAAGGGGTTTTAACATTTATCTCTATGGTAGCTAAGCACAGTTATAAACTACCCTAACTCCTCTGCACACTATGGTCATTTTAGATTTTATCACCTGATGTGTATGCCATTCCTATAGTTTTCTGTCCTCGTGAAGTAATGACAAAAATGTACACACACAAAGACACAGACTCTTGTGGCATCAATTCAAAAGTCAGCATCAATATGCTCAATCTTTCAACCAGGAACGACTCCAACTAATTATAGCACTACAACTCATTTTTCCAGAATATACAGGAGATTAGAAAGTAATATTTAGAAATACTGTCTCTAAGTATTCATTCTAATTTTATGCCAGTAAACATTTGGAAAGTATATTTTCATTTTTAATCACTTAAATTATGGAAGTGCCAAACCAAACTGTCTCAAAGGAACAATAAACAGTCAACATGTCAGAAAAAAAATCTACTTGAATCACTTTTCTTATTTTCTGTTGCACTTAAAATCTCATTCCAACTAAAACTGTGAAAGAAAACGTATGCCCTTTAAGAATGAAGAAAGTAGCTCAAATGGTTTAATTATTGAAAATAACTATAAAAAGTTGTTTCAAAAGTAACTACTAAAAGCTGTAAAAAAAGTATGCTCTAAAAGTATACTGGGAGCTGGGCGTGGTGGCATACGCCTGTAATCCCAGCACTCTGGAGGATCGTTGTGAGTTCAAGACCAGCCTGGGCTACAAAGTGAGCTCAAGACCAGCCTGAACTACACAGTGAGACCCTGTCTCAAAAACACAAAAAACAAACAAATAAAAGTACACTGGGAGTATAATTCTTTTCATATAAAATGTCTAGAACAGGAAAATTTAAAAATGAAAAGATCAATAGTTGCTTATATCTGGGAAATGCATGGGAATGAACTACAAGTGAATGGGATTTTTCAGGAGGTGATAAAAATATTCTACAAATGACTTATGATGTTATTGAAAAATTCTATAAAAAGAGCTATTAGGCAAAAATTAAGTGGACTGAGAAACCAGAAATAGGACTAGTACATCCAAGTTTGAAGGTGTTCATGGGTTGCCAAGAAACACTTCACTGTAGGGGCTGGGGATTTAGCTCAGTGGCAAAGCGCCTGCCTGGCAAGCACAAGGTCGTGAGTTCGGTTCCTGGTACCGGAGAAAAACAAAAAAAAAAAAAAAAAAAAAAAAAGAAACACTTCACTGTATGTGTCCCCAAATCCCTGTGACAGCACCTGTTGTTAATCATTTGGACCATCTTTTCCACTAGGTCAGAATGGCTTCTATGAGATGAGTCAATCAGGGTAGAATACACCTACTTGCCTATAATTTTCACCAGAGAGGATGAAAAGGGAAGGGAATCAATTTTTATTGAGGAACTACCAGATTCCTGACAGAGAGGATAGGTTTTCCATTATCTTATTAAAGCCTGACAGTAATCCTACAAGGCAGGCATATTTGACCTTAGTTTACAGAAGAGAAAAAAGAGAACTTCAAGAAAGTTAAGGATTTTGACCAAAATCAGAGCAAGTAAACAAGTGCCAGACCTGTAATCTGCTCTTGAAAGATGCCTAATTCCATACTTAATTATACCAGACTTCCTCATGTAGACCCGCAATGCTAAATTTCCGCACACAGGTTTAAGAAATTAACATAGGGTTTCAAATATGAAATAAGTATCTCAAATTTTCACTTCCTGGAGATGTGAATATTTTTGTCATAAACTGTGCTTTCCTATAACATGGTTATGGTTATATGAAAATATTTCATCTAACACGAGGCAAATTAAAACTGCCTCTATTCAGCTTCTCCAACAGACATTTAAAAACCTACCCCAAGAACAACTAGTTAAGTGCACTGAGCAATAGTGAACTATAAATTAACAAACCCTTTGGTTGGGCTGCTTTGTGTTTCTGACATAAAGATGCATTTCCTTTTGGCAGGAGGGTCTTCCTCTTCATCAGAAGAGCTTTCTATTGTTAGGTCGATAACATCCACTTTCTTCTTGCTTGTCTCACTGGCTACAGTAACTGAACAAGGTTTACTGAGGACACTGGAACCTAGATGAAAAGAAACAAAAAGGAAAACAGAAACATCAAATAAACTCTAGCCGTGACAGTCTTAATTATGCAGTACTCTACGGCAATATACAGCCAGGCAAGCCACATACTCTGTCCCATGGACATAAGCCATCTCACTAACTCTAGATGTCTATAAAATGATTGCGTGCTTAGGAAGACAGCAAGCATGAGCATTATTTCTTGACAAGGGATCATAAGCCTTCTTCAGGTACCATACTCAGTTCTCTGAAATACTGTGGATTTGTACAGATCCTTCTGTGGCTCAAACTGTCTTGCTTGGTTAATAGCGACTCTACAAACAAACCTCTGGAGTTAGAGAACTGGTCTCAGGCCATGGGAAAAAAGTATGTAGTTTCACTAACTGCATATTCTCTGAGACTTGTGGTTAAGTCTGAATCAGGTAATTCTTTTCTAGCAAACCTGTTCATACCAAAGAATGTACAGACTCCTCACCAAAAGCCAGAACTTTGTAAAAATTTTCAACTTGATAAACTGAAAAAAAACCCCACACTCGTCACTTTTATTCATTTAAAGTTATTCTCACAAATTATATTCTAATCATTCAAGTTCCACTAAGACAATCTCATATATATTAACTCACATTCTCATAAAAATATGTATTATTTACTTCCCATTTTCTCAAAGATGAGGGGAAACTTGGTCACTACAATCTTGGGATCAGTACTGTAATACTGGCATATATTCCTACATTGTTCAAACAGTCAAAATAAAACTCAAAGACAATGAGTAGATTGGTTCAGAGAAAAAAAAAAGACTGAGTTTACCTATGGATTTCAATTTACCTAAGTTTACCTATGGGCCTGTAGTACCCCCTCTCATCAGGAAAATGAAGAAGAATACATTATAGTTATTCATGGCCATGATAAAATTCTAGTCCCCCTAAAATAGGGAAATAATCTTACTGTACTGCCTCCTCATCCATTAATGGATGATATGAATGATATCTCTCTCTAAACACACCTCCACCAGAGGCTGTGCCTACAAATGCTCTCAGAACAGTTCTGAAAAACTGCCCATATAGATATTTGACTTCCCATTTATAACAAACATCATCTATTAAAATTATTTTAGGTGGCCGTTTCATTTAGTCTATACATGAAAAATACTATGAAAAGGCTTATATAATGGTATAAATGAGCACATTTCTTAAGGAAAAAAAAAAAGGTGCAGATGATCAAAAGCTAAAGTTAGAAACTGAGCTCCAGAAATATTTCCATTGGCCAAGATTAATAATAAAGATAATATTCCAAAGTCTCAGTGCTTTCTTCTCTACTGTGCTTTTACACATACTTTCTATTTTTGCACATGGTTGGCTGGATACTTTCATAGCTTCTTTCTTCGGCCTCATTGGACACCAAGAACCATCTTCTTGGAATTTGATCTCATCCACATCAGAACAGTCATTGAGAATTTCCATAAAAAGCCTGTAAACCAATTAAGAAGTACAATATATACATGTTGTCAATGGCTTTGTTCAAAAATGAAGAAAGTAATATAATTTAGAAGACACAAATAATGCTGACTTTTTTCTTATATTTTAATATTTCACACTTTGTAATAACTACTAATGCACTCTTCCTCCATGGACAGATGGATGGATAGACTTATTTACTGTGGTGCTAGAGATCGAACCCAGGTCCTTGAGCATGCTAGGAAAGTGCTGTACCCCTGAGCTAGATCCCTTAGCCAGGTTTTAGGCCTGTAACAGACAATACAGAAATTAAATGACTTATTAAGTGACATTTACAGTATCAGTGACTAAAACAGAAATAAAGCCTGGAGTTTCCTAGGAAGACTGGCAGTTAAACATGTTCCTGCCAGTTTGAACCACAGATGGTACACACGACTGTCCCATCATGTGGCATGAACTACTAGTGGTTAGCTATTTAACATCAGACAATCGAATTCAAATCAGACCTGCCAAGCAGTAAGACATGCATTAAGACCCACTGTGAATGTGTTAATAACATGTGGCACAGAACATAAAACAAATTTAAGTAGACAAAGGTAATAATTTATAACCTTAAGAAATACGGAACACAAGAATAGAGATAGCAGAAAGGAACAGAGACATAAAAGAAGTCTTAACAAATATAATTCAATGCATACAAATTATTTCTATGACAAAAACAAAGTTAAAATTGAAGTGAGTATCAAAAACTATCTGGAAAATTTGTTACATTTATAAACACCCCAAGAGACAAAGATAAAATAAGAAATCAAAGTATTTTGAACACAATTAAAATATAGTAAAATTGGTGAAATGGAGGTGGTATAGTCACAGGATCATAAATTAAAACATAATAAATCATCTTTGTTTTATAACACATACAAAAATTAACTTGGCATACATAGATCTAAATGAAAAAATACTTATAAAACTATAAGAAAGCATAATAGAAAATATTTTCATACTAAGTAGGGAAAAATGTCTAATATGCTATCAAAACAACTGGTAAAAGAAAATGCTGATAAATAAGACTCCATCCAAAGAAAAAAACTTTTGTTATCTGAAAGACAATGTTAGAGATGGAAAGCTAAAATAGCAAAAAAATATTTGTTAACAAATTATGTATTCACAATATAGAAAGAACTATCAAAATTCAATATGAAAACAATTTTGATGTCATTTAAAGAAAACATTCAGATGGACAGTAGACAAGTAAAAAATGCTTAACACAATTAGTAAAGGGAAATGCAAATTAATTTCACAATGGGTTACCACTATATACCAGTACAACATCTATAATTAAAAAGATTTTATCAAATATTGGTGAGAATGTAGATCAAAAGGATTTTTCGCAGGCTGCTAACTGGAATATAAAATAATGCAAGCACTTTAGAAAACAGTTTGGTAGTGCTCTGGGCATACACCTCGAATATGACCAGGTATTTTATTTAAAGTACTTGCTTAGAAGATTAAAAAATATCAGTCACACAGGACTTGGGCATGAATATTCACATCTGTATTTGCAGTAATTCAAAATCAGAAACAATCCACTGAAGGTGAAAACATAAACCACTGTTGGTATACTACACAATAGAATGGGACTCAACAATAAAATGAACTGTTGGTACAGGTAGCAAAATGGAAGAATTTCAAATAAGTATGGCAAAGTAAGAGATGCTAGACACAGAAAGCATAAACTTTATCATTCTATTCATATACGATTCTAGAAATATCTGCATCCAATTCTCAGGTGGTTTAAAAGAATTCTACAAATACTAATATACTGTAATCATCTTCCAATAGACATACAAACATCAAAAATGTGTATGTACATACTGCGAGAATGTGATAAAACAATTGTGGCAGAAGTTAACAACTGATACATCTGGGTCAAAGTAATACTGGAGGTTATTCGTGCTACTGATGCAACTTCTCTGTAAGCTTGAAATTATTTCAAAATAAACTAAAATTATTATAAATATAACCAAGCAAAACAGAAGTTTTAAGAAAAGTGAAAGTCCCATTCACTCTTTATAGACTTGTTCCTCTCCACAGGATTGGATTAATTACTTCATTAACTGTAATTTTAAATCTGTGTATCACTGTGTATTACTGTATAATTATTTTTTTAAAGTGTCATGTGAAAAAAAGGACACCTCACTTACTGAAAATGCTTGATATAAATTTGCAAAATCTGACACAAGCAATATGATCTAAGAATTAATGTTTAGAATTTGGGTTCCAGAATAAGAATAACCTGAGTATGAAGACTTCTAATTTAGAATTTACCAGCTATGTAATGTGATTTTTATCTACGAATGAATGAAAAGAAGCCTATCTGGATTTATTCTGTGCGTCCTGTAACTTCTTCTATTGAAAGACACTAATTGCTATTATAAAGACTCTAACTGCTATTACAAGAAATTCTAGGTAAGTAAAATTGTATTACTAAGAAGTCTTCTCCCTCTTTCCTATGGACTTTTACAATGTATGACCTTGGAGAGCAAAACGAAAAGGAAAACTATGTATCTTCTTGTTTCTAAGACAAATCATACTATAGGTTAGGTGACCCCACCCAAAAATGTGAAACTTTTTAGAACATCGATGACCAAAAATTTTCAGATTTTGGAGCATTCTTAATTTGGGACTTACAGATTAAGGATGCTCAACTGGTAGTTTATGCAAGTAAATATAACTAAGAATACACAAATACTAGATTTTACATACTAGAATAGACTACATATTAGGCTACATTGAAGGAAGACACAGCCAATAAGTATAAGAAAGGAAACAGAGAAAACAATACTCATTAAAAGATGCTGGGTATAGCCGAGTGTGAAGACCTTATGTTCAATCTTCAGTATTGTAAAACCAAACCAAACCAAACCAACCCAATGCAAACAAAATTAAGGGTGAAGTGAAGAATTCATGGTAGAACATGCTTAGCATTCATAAAGCCCTAGGTTGTAACCCTAGTACAATAAAGAGGAGGTAGGGAAGATATACTCACCCATCTAATATTAGACTTTCGTAGGCAGCTTTTTTGTCACACACAGGACAAATCCAGGTGGGCTTCTTTTCATTCATTTGTAGATAAAGGGCAGCATCGAAACACTGCAGATGTGTACATGTCACTGCACGGCATGGGATTGTTAGTCTCATTTTTCCTAGCTATAGGACAAGAACATAATATGGAAACTACTTCAAAAAAAATAACAAAGTCTCATAGGGAACAGAAACAATAACAGTTTGAAGAAACCATATAAAGATAATTAAAATAAAAAAAATCCAAATCAATTTATTTCTACCACAATTACTTCTGTTAAATCCATTTGACGGCTCTATGATTTTTGAAAGATCCTTTTACTTTTTAAAGACCCTGTCTCTAAAAAAAAAAATCAAACCAAACCAAACCAAACCAAACTGACAAATAAGCTATGAGGTATAAAAAGATACAGATACACTACAATGAAAACAAGACTCCTTCTCACCTGGTGCCCACTTGCCCTATTTAAAGAACCACTGGTATGCATCTCTTGCATTTCTTTCCATGTATTAATCAAGTGTATATTTAAGGAAATATTTTTCCACAAATGGCATATTCTGTACGCAATTCTAAGGAGTTCTAATGACATCAAGATATTTACAGTACCATGGTTAGATTAGATTTCCTTGTATAACCTTTAAAACTTCCCCATGTATTCCTTCACAGGAAATATCTCCATTTAAAATCAACTGTTATTTTGCTTGAAAATCTGTTTCTCCCCACAGATCCTAAGCTCCACAAGAGCAGGGTGGTCTACATTTGTTCATCACTGTAATCCCATTATCCTAGTACAATATGAACTCATAGTATATGCTCAGTATTAATGGGCCAGGCAGTAAAACACATGAGGACTGAAGAAAAGGCAAAGAGACAATAAGGAAAGGAGGGATTTCTTCATATGTCTATAGCTTAGAAAAATTCATTTCAGGATTATAACATTCTTAATTGGCCGGATGATAGAAATTTCAAGAGGCTGTTATTTTTGGTTGATCTGTAGTTTAAGTGTGTTAAAATGAACATTTGGTATTGTTTAATTCAAAAAGAAAATGATCTTGCCAAATCAACATGGCAGTAATTCTTACATAATTTATACCTTTGTGTAAAGTACAATGTTGAGCACTTCCCATTTAATTCCAGAATACATTTAATACACTATAAAGATATATATATAAATATAAAATAACTTTTATATAACATATAAAAGGTACTGGAAAGTAAATCAAAGGCTATCACATGAGTTACATACTCACCACTATCCCCTATTTTTAAATTTTTTATTTTGACACAGTCCTCCTAAATTGTTAAGATCCCCAGGCTGGGCTCTAATTTGAAATCCTCATGCCTCAGCCTCCCAGAGCACTGGGATCACAAGTGTAAACCACCACGCCCAGGTCCTGTTTTAAAGAATAAGGAACCTGAGGCAAACAGAAGCTAAGAAGAAATAAATAAATGCTAGTGGCACATGCCTGAATCCCAGCAGGTGGGAGGCTGATGGAGGAGGACTGCCAGGCTGGGGTACATGGTGAGTTCAAGGCCAGCCTGAACTTACAGCAAGACCCTGTCACTAAAAAACCAAACTAAACCAAACCAAACTGACAAGCTGGGCTGTCTAACAGTATAAAGTCAGAAAACAGTAGAGCTAGGAAGTAAGCCAGGCAGTCCATCCTTGTCACTATACTACACTGGCTCTATTTAACTATGACTCTAAAAGAGACTTTAAAAGTCAGCCATTCAAGAAACTATGCAGTACAATATTACTTGTCATTTTAGGGCAGAAAAAAAGAATAAAATCTGAAGCAACTTCTCTTGTAGTATGTTCTTCTGTATTTTTGCTTCCTTTAAAATAGATTATCTCTGAAGTTACCTAAAATGTTATCATATGCTAGAATCTTTCCTAGGAATTCCTCTAATACTCATAATAACCTTAGGACCCAAAGGAGCTGCCATCTCTACTTTTATTTTGAGATAAGATTCAGAAGCTACAAAAGGCTAAAACAATTTGAGAAACAGCTGGTAGAGTTACAATACAAATCCAAAAGTTCCTTGTTGTCCTGAGATATCCCTAAATGAACATTATATATGATACAAGCTTTTGGGTTTAATTATCCTTTTCCTGATCTGTAAAAATTTTTGTTCCACTAAGGATGCTAATTAAATGTCTACTTTGCACTCAATGAGATGATCAACTTTTTTTTATAATCCTTTCAACTGAAGAATAGTTTAAACGTACTGTATATTCTACAATCAAACTGTCTCTGCCTTTCTAAAAGGCATCCCTTTGTTACTTCCTATTGCAAAAGACGCCCACCCCATGGTGGTCCCCAGCTGGTAGTTTACTCAAGATCATGTAGTGTTATTCTCTGGCAGAAAATTTATCCTCATTTTGCCCATGTCCTGTGACTTTTTGAGAAAGTGAGATTAACAGCAGTGGACTAATTATTCCAGTGGAGGAAATTTCAAAGCAGCCCAATCTTTAAGCTGTAGCATGGGCATTGTTGGCTGATTTTTGGTCAGATCTACAGTGAAAACTGGGAGGAAAAAAAAAAAAGAAAACTGGGATCAAAGTCAAATGTGCAATGTCTAGAGTTGCATCATAAGGGAAGCACCTACAATGGTGGGGCAAAGGAGTAATGGTTGCTAAAAAAAGATTACATCTCCACAATAGGAAAGACAGCTTGAGGGCATCGCAGGGATCACTAAGACTCCCACACACCCTTGGAAGGCTCAAGAGTGTAAAACTATGAAGTTTTTACTTGAGATTAGAGCCCTTGGGGCACCTGCTCGAGAAGGGCTATACAAGGAACTGGTTCCCCAGCATTAATTTCACTATGTTCAGCCATCCTAGCACTCAGAGGCATCAGACCTTTGTGAAATCCACATAGTGCTTGTGCAAAAGTCATTCAGAATGCAAGAGAAAAATAGTCATGGAGGCTTCCACCTAGATTTCAACAGAAATCCTAGAGCCCAGGCAGTGTGCCCCCGAAAAGGCAGTGTGTAAAACTGTGAGAATTAAGCAAAAGGGCGGGGAAGACCTCAGGACAAAAGATACAAGGAATATGCACATCTGCTGAGCAAGGCCACAGGCAACAAGCAGAGCCAGCTCAAGGGAGAGGCCATAAGGGCTGCAAGGAGCAATGCCATAGGTGCAGGGTTGCCCAAGTCCTTTTGAGCTAACACTGTACCACAACTTGTCCCAGACTCTGGACACTGAGTTACAAGTTTTAATGTCTGCATTACTGGGTTTCAGTTTTGCTTTGGTCTGATTTCTGTCTACTCTCATATTCCTCTCTTTAGAAATGGGAACATTTACCCTATGCCATTGTACGTTGCAAGTGTTTAATCTTTTTGGTTTTGGCAGGGCTCCAAGCTAAGAATTTGCCTTGAGTCACAGAGGACACTTTGAACTTAAAAATGCACTGTGTATGAGAAGGACGTGAAACTTTTAGAAGCCAGAGTCAGTATATTATGGTTTAGCTCTAAAAAGATCCCCGAAATTCTCATATTTGGAGGTGTCGCCTGGATGGAAGGGGTGAGTCACCGAAAGTGTGACCTGAAAGGGCATATTCTCACCTCCATCACCTTCTGCATCCTGGCTGCCATGAGTTGAACATTTTTTCCTTTTTCATGCCCCTCTGGTATCCCTTTTCTGTCTTGGAGCCAGTCAATCATGGACTACAAGCCAAAGTAAATCTTCCCTCCTTTGACTGGTGTCAGGTATTTTGTCCCAGTACCAAAAAAATGACTAATATAGGTAATATTTTTAAAAGAAATTTTCAGTCAATATAGATGAATATGTTTTTCATTATTATCAGTGTTTGCAAACAACCCAAAATCATCACTAAAATAGGCTGAATAAAGTTACACTAAGTATTTCAACAATGTGCCTACAGTGATTAAGACAGATTTACATATACTAAAGGTATATTGTTAATTAAAACACAGTAAGCTATAGTATATACAGTACACCTTTTTCAATGAATATATATACAATTAAAAAAAGGTAAATCTAAAACACTACCTCCGAATAACCTTGGTACCTTAAACTTTTTTTGTTTCTGTTCTATTCAAATAATTTTATAATTGTTAAACATTTATTACTTATCCATATTTTCTTTTTTAATAATGCTCTAACTCAGATCACTGTTTTAAGATATTAGTTCTCGAATCTTTGGTTTTAGAACCATTTACACCCTCTTAACATCTTGATGTTCTCCCAAAGACTTTTGTGCTAACAGGTGGGGCTTTTGGAGGTGGCTGGATCTAAGGCAGTGAGGGTGAGCCTATGGCATATGTGTTGTTTTTCTTTGAAAACAAAAGATGCTATTACATGATTTTTTTTTTTTTCCTAAACTAAAACTTTAGTACTCATGTTTCATTGCAGTGTTGCAATAAATAAGTTGGTTTGGGGTCGTAGTTTGGGCACTTGTTTCTAAAAGGGTTGACATTACTGATCTAGTGCGTGAATATGGATTGAAGGTGTGTGATAACTAAATTTAGTCCACTGATTGGTTTAGCATATTTCTGGGCGTGGATAATGAGAAGGCCCACTCTGGGTATGGGTGCCACCATCCATTAGGCTTATATTCTGAATGGGATAAAAGGGAAAGGAAGGCTTGCTGCTGCTGTTTCCTGACTGCCCTTCCATGGACTGTCTTTTCTCTGCCTTGTAGCCAGCTGACTATGGCTCCAAGTTTGCTGAAACCTCAGCAAACTCTGAGCTAAAATAAACCTTCCCTCTTTAACTTGTGGGTGTTGGGTATTTTGTCCCAGCAACAAGAAAGTAAGACAAACCTTTAAAAACTAAAAACCTCAGCTATTACATATTTGCATGGACATCAGTATTTACTGTAGTATAAATTTAAAAATACTTTTAAAGACAAGAGTACACAAGTACTTACCCTATAAACCTCAAAAACAATGATACCATCACGTGTCACATAATCTGTTAAACACCACTAAGAAAGAGACGGGGTGAGGGAATAAAATTATAGAGGCTGGGCCTGTAGTTCCGTGGTAGAAGACATCCTCAGACTAATCCTCGAAACACAGACACAGACACACAGACACACACACACACACACACACACACGGGAAAAACAGATTATGTGCTAGTATTATTATAAAAAGTTGGACTTGTGGATTTCTGAGTCTTAGAAACCCCTGGGAATCCCTGAGGACTTTTTCTGTTTGTTTTTGGCATTGGGGACTGAGCCTAGACCTCTATACTGAGCTACCACACCCAGCTCTATTAATTATTTTCATTGTCAGGCCTCGCTAAGTTACCCAGGCTGGCCTTAAACTTTCATTTTTCTTGCTTCTGCCTCCCAGACTGCTGGGAGTACACAGGCAGAAGATACAACTCCCAGCCCCTGGGTCACATTTTATAAACCACGTTTTTGTGCTTTTTCCTTCTTCTATGCCATTTTCATATTTCCTGTTGCTGCCTTAAAATTTTTAGAACATTCAGTATTATAAAGTTGTTGACCCTTAATTCTACACTAGTTTCTTACAAGAGTTAACGAACATTCCCTAATTGGAAAAGACATTTATTACTATCTGGGAAAGTCTGATCAATCTCCAAATACTGACTATGCCATGTTATTTAAAAAGATTTGGAAAAGTGCTGCATTCTAAATTATATGCTACTACTTTCTTGAAATTTTGAAGTGTATCATTTTTATGAATGATGTCTAGCCAGCTGTTATAGATTGTGTCTGCATGTCCCCCCGAAATCCTCATGCAGTCATGGGGCAGGCTTCTAGGATTTGTGATTGATCCATGATCCAATGCAGGGATTATGGGTGTGACTGCTACACCTGCCCTGGGGCGAGAAGTTTGCATACAATGTACAGGAGGGAAAGAGGCTGCTTGCTGCCATTCCTCACTTTTGCTCTTGTCTTGCTGTGTTCTGCTGCCAGGAACACTTACCCTCTGCCATGTGCCACTCTGCCTTGGAACCAGCCCAGTATGGACTGAAACCTCCACAAACTGTAAGCTAAATAAACCTTTCCTTCCTTCATTCTGGGTGTTAGGTATTTTGTCTCAGCAACGAGAGAAAAGTAACCAAGATGCCAACACAATACTTTTTCCTTGCAAAATGTTATGCAGGCAAATATCTAAATTGATATTTGGTTCATATAGACTAGTAGAAATTCAAATTTTCTTAAAGGGGGGGCTGGGGATTTAGCTCAGCGGCAAAGCGCCTGCCTGGCAAGTGCAAGGTCGTGAGTTCGGTTCCCGGTACTGGAGAAAAACCAAAAAAAAAACCTTTGGGGCTGGGGATTTAGCTCAGCGGCAAAAGCGCCTGCCTGGCAAGCGCAAGGTCGTGAGTTTGGTTCCCGGTACCAGAGAAAAACCAAAAAAAAAAAAAAAAAAAAATTTTTTTCTTAAAGAGTTTTTACAGTAAAAATGACAACAGTGCTTTTGAACTATTTTTAGCAAAATTTAAAAATTCTGCATATATTTTTAGGGTCTTTTAAAAATATTTTTTGAAGTTTCTTAAATTCAATGGTTAGGTTCAATGTTTATATTAAGGGAAATTCCATTTGGTTCTTATCCAATTCAGTTTGCAACCAGAATTGTTTGTGAACCACTGTACTGTGTGAAATTACCTTCTGTAGGCCCTAGATCTTGGGACTTCTTTCCACTATCCACTTTCATGTGTACTGTAAATTATTTCACAAATGTACTATGAAATAAAACAAACATTTCTTCTACCAGCCTAGCCTGTCATTTCCTCTCGTTCTGCCAAATAAAACCAGGGTTCACTTTTTACCCTTCCAAGTGTGTGGGATCCATTTTTTTCCTGCTCCATTTCCAGTTAACTACACCAGATTCTGTGTTATTTTCATCTTTAGCTGGCAGGGACCCACTCCACTCTGCCTTTTCTTCCTGATGCTAGGATTGTGTCTTCCTCAAAAACTACTTCCATCATCGTAGTCATTCACCCATTAAATCTGACCCAAACTTGCATCTGCTTTTCTAATTAATACACAGCATATACATAATACACAGTTTAGTTATGCAAGTTATTTTAATAGTACAATGGCCCAAAGAATATAATTCATTCTTTTCAGAAAAGTGTTCTAAAAATATTAAGTAGGATTAAACTATGAGTAAGGAAAAGAGTCTTAGAAACGACCTGTTGTCATTTTATGTAGAAAAAGAAAACATAATGAATTTGTAACAGGATAAAGGGGCTGGGGGTACAGCTTAGTGGTACAGCATGTGCTTAGGGTGTCAGTCCCAGCACTGTGAAAACTGCTACAGTATTTCATATATTTTATTTCTTCAAATAACTGAAAAGTTAACTTTCTTAAAATTCTCAACTTTCTTCAAATTGACAAGTTTGAAACAAACTGCTCCCAATGCATATATAAAAGAAACCTTAACCACACTGATAGTTGTTACTATTAGAAGCCACAGAATCCTTTAGTATGCCTGGCCACTGTGTTTAGCTTTGGTTACCCTCATGTAGAATGGCAGTGATGTAAAGGGGGAAATATTTCTACGAAAATAAGACTTACAGAAAAAAGTATTACGTAATTGTTGAACCCACTGAAAACTGTGTAAAAGCACTTTGTTCCTGACAGAACAGTTTGACATACTAAAACATAAAGACGACATGAGCTCCCTCCCTGTACAGTGGCTGCACACCTAGAATATAGTTGGCAATTAATGTTTGCTGAATATAGTAGGGTTAAACTATAACCTGTCAAAATTCAACTGTTTTTGACTAACAGTAATTTCACTTGTTTCAATCTAATATCCATTTTAACTGTAATATGAGAGGAGGAAAATAAAGTAATGTGCAGATACTCAAAACAATTCCCACCTGCATAAAGCTTAGGAACAGAGAAGGCTGTGGGTCCTAACACAAGGCTACTAAGCTCTCTACCACAATGTCAGGATATTAACATCCTCCCATGCTAGGACTGCAGATCTGTCTAAATTTGATAACCACAGCACTCTCCATTCCTAGGCTTTCCCAATTTCACAGAATTCTATTATTTTTCAACAAAGGACAAGTTGCATTTTAAAAAACTAATGATGAAAAACCTTCAGAAAGAAAGATAACTGTAAACACCATTTTACAGGGTAACAGAATGTATACTGACACTCAGGACATTTACATTTGAACCCAATCTGGCAGAATAGTTATTAGAAAAAGAACTGGAATAATATAAGACTACAATTTTTAATTTTTTAATTTAAAAACTCAGGACACAGGAGGAAATTCACAAGTCATTTCCTTCTTTTCTGACACAATTTTGTCTTCATTAATAAACACTATACATTTCCACAATGCCCCCCCAACTACATTATAAACTTCTGATTCCGTGATTTTTCTCATATTGAAAAGGCTTCCTTCCCCACTTTGTTTTGCTTTCTTTTGAGACAGGATCTCATTATGTAGTTTCAGGTGGCCTTGAATTTGTGGTGATCCTTCTGCCTCAGCCTCCCAAATGCTGGGACTACAGGTATGCACCACCATGCTCAACATCCACATTAATTTTAAGCCTTCATCCATCCACCTCTTTATATGTGATTAAGCACATTCTGCTTTTACATGTTAGTTGATTTTATCTCTCAAAATAGGTTATTAACGTTCTAACAACTTCAAAGCAAATCCTCAATATTTTCTCCTAGTTAGTTCAATGCCAAATACACAGGAGGACCTCAGAGTAGCTTGACTAATTTCTCACCCAAGTCTCTATGTAAAGAGATATAAAGTACATTACAAAGACAACCCAATATTGTAACCAAGACCATCAATTAACTTATTAAACCAAGACCACCAATTAACGTTTATCAGGCCCTAGTTACTTTACTGCTATTTTTCAATATATATTCTATAAAAGGAGCTAGCTCAGGGCAGGTGCAAAGCAGACAGACAGCAAAGGGTGAAGGGGGGGCTTAATATGTGCTTATTATTAGTTATGGATTATTATCAGCATTAATTTTGACAGATTATTCTTTGCCTAAAATTATCTTCCTTCAATAATATGAAAGCCTTTTTTATCATTATTTTAAGAATACAAAGAATTATAATGTTTAATCATGAAGATTACTAACCGGGGGAAGTTCAGAATTCTATCAAAATATATTAGTGATTTTCACACTTACTTCTGCAGGGAAATTAGTCATTTATAAAAATAAACTTTCCCAGAACAGTTTGTAGCTTTACTTACAGGGCACGTCAAGGACACTCGAAGACTAGTTGTAGCAATTTCACTATCAGGATCTGCAGTAAGTTTTTCTTTAACTTGCAAAAAATGAAAAATAATAATTAAAATGTTTAAAAATAATGGTGGTGTATGAGCGAATTTTTAAAATGTATTGTCCTTGTAAATTTCCCACTTTGAATAAGTTAAGAAACACAAACTGCTAAATATAAATGTATTGAAAATACAACGATACTCCCAGTACTGTATCAGGTTAGAGAATTATGAATGTACAAACTCTGGATCTTATATGTAACTGAATTCTTAGGATTTCTCTTCTAACACATTCATTACTGTTTATTAGGTTGCACTGGATTTTTCAAATAACTATTAAATTTTTCACTTGTTTTTTTGAACAAGGTCTTGCTATGCAGTCCAGGCTGGCCTTGAACTCACTATGTAGCCTAGGCTGGCCTCAAACTTGCAGTGATCTCCTGCCTCAGTCTCCAGAGTATTGGGACTACAGGCATGCACCACCATGCCTGGCAAACAACTATTAAATTTGAAAACAGAAAAAAGAATATTTTCATATTTTCTCTGACAACTGAAAACTATACAGGTGATTTGTCTGTGATTATCTTCCACCATGTAATGCATATATGTTTATAAAGGTCAATTTTCTCAGCTCCCTCCCACCTCCCATTAAAGCATCTCATATACTTGGTCTTACAAACATTACTTACTTAGTGCTCTGGAATGATCAGGATTTCTAATACCTTTCATTTTTAATCTCTGTAATAACATGGCTGATGTCAGCTGTCGTACAAGATATACAGACATGGAATAATTCTATAGAAAAAGATACTCTGCATTAAAGACTAGAGATAATAGTCTCTTTATTTACATAATACTTATCTAAAAGTTCTAGTTTCTAAAAACATTCAAAAAAACTTCTCCAGGAAGGTCAATGACTGGGAAGGAGGGGAAAATCAACTACAGTACTTCAAGAAAGATAATGTCACACTTATTCAAAGGTATTTCTCAGTAACTTATCACTTTAAAACATCCACTGGTATAGTAAATAGCTTCATTTAGAGGTCTCTTTCTCTCTCTCTCTTGTAGTACTGAGGGCTGAATCTAAGATCTTTCACACTACACCCCCAGACATTTTTATTTGAGACAAGGTTTCACTGAGTCACTAAATTGCCAAAGTTGGGTTCGAACTTGCAGTCCTCTTCCCTCAACTTCCAAGACTGCTGGGATCATAGGTGTATATCACCATGCTCTGCCTTAAACTGTTCCTAATTTAACAAAACCTGCTACCTTAGGGACTATCATAAAAACATACTCTCTCGTATCTACTTATAATCAGATTCCTTCTGCTTCAACTTACGTAATGAGGTGCTCATATTTTCATTTAAAAGTGGGTCCTATTGCAGAAACAAGGTTTGAACACCAAGGACATAATTAACACTTTTTATGCATTCCAATTCTGGCACTTGCCAGATGACACTGGGCAAATGAATCAAAGTCAGTATAAGCTCTCTTCTAAGGAAAGCTTTAACAACTCTAGTTCCTAAATGGGCATTTTACTAGGAAAGAGGCACCTACTAGAGTGTATAAGACAAGGCCAGAAAATAACAGCATTCTGTATCTTTAAATCTGGCCAAAAGGAACCTCCCTTAGCTATTTATAGAACTCTGAAGAGAGGAAATATAATTTTACCTAAATGCCAAAATATTCTTTTGTCATTCCACTATACATAATTGAGCTGATTCCACAATAAACCAAATATTTTTAATAGGTGGCAAACCAACCATTTTAAATACTTTTTAATGTTCTTTTCAATGTCCAAATACTCAAAACATTGTACAAATTTTAGGTCCATTCATCATTTTAAGACAAAATAAACACTATTCCCGTTATATGGCAAAACTGTCAACTTTTCAACATCTATAATCATTTATCTGCAAATCTATATATTATTTCCAGCTCTACAATTAGCTGGGTAGTAAAGCAACAAATATGCTCACGTTCTTTAACCTCAAAAGAAGAGTATTTTATTTCCATGGAACAAGAACATGCAATCTGATATTCAGAAATTAACTGAAGTCCCATTCCTCACTCATTTTGTTACATATTTCTAAAATGTAAATTCCCTGTTGCATTAATGTCTCATAATTGATGTAATTCATTTTGAAACTGAGAATGAGCAGAAAGTCAGGTCCGTGAACCCAAAGGTATGCAAGAAATAACTCTAAATGAGCATTTTTACATGAGATGCCCACTTAGTATCTATTAGTTGTTTACATAAAGGCTAGAACAAATTATTTCTAATCACAAGTACATTTAACTCTTTCCCCTAAAGACTGATAAAGTTTTGTTCTTGGTTTCTCTTCATATATACTTATCACCCAAAGCCTCCAGTTTATTAAATATTACTTATGACACCTCCCCAAACACAGAGTATTAAATGATTACTTTGAAGAATATAAATATTTCCTTTCCCAGAATATAAAGAGACAATACTCAGGATACTTCAGAGTTAAAAGTTTTTAACCTTAAAAATCCCTTTACCACCATTTCTGAATTGAAAATTATTGCTTTTTAAAGTTTCTAATCAGAAAACAGAGTTAGAGCTGGTTATCTCAAGAAAAAAAAAAATAAATTGACTGTCAGTGGAGGAGAGAATCTTACCTTTCCAATTTCAGATGCCCAAGAAATAGAAATCTGGTTTGGCACAGCTGAAGACAATCTAACTAAAGATGTAATATTCAAGGGGCGTCCAGGGCGCTTCTGCTCAATCCCATTTTTAGGTGGTGGTGCATAGCCCTATAGCCATAAGAAACAAAAATTATATTCTCTGTAGCGAAGAGCTTGCCTAATTTTGGTTGCACTGGATTATTTTTATTCTACCCTGGAAATGACAGACCAGGAAAATAGAGAACAAAAATCCACGTTCCACCACTAAAATGTTTATCTTTTTTTTTTTGGTACCAGTAATCAAACTCAGGCCCTTGCCTTTGCCAGGCAGGCGCTTATGCCGCTGAGCTATCTCCCCGGCCCTCCACCATTAAAATGACATCTTGCCACACTGTTATTAGAGTTTTAAGGTAAAGGCCCCAGCTCCGGGAGGGTCAACGGACTAGGTCAGTGATGGTGAACCTTTTAGAGACGAGTGCCCGAATTGTAACCCAAAACCCACTTATTTATTGCAAAAGGCCTACACTGTAATTAAACATGAACACTGAGGTTTTAGTTTAGAAAAGACAACTCATACGATGACATCTTTTGTCTTAAATGAAAGACAACACTTGTGTGCCATAGGTTTGCCACCACTAGAGTAGGTTCTGGCAACATCCCAAGATACCAACTGATGAGAGGAACAGTGGCAAAGGTAGGAAAGAAAATTTAATCGTATAGCTGTACTGGGAAGACAGGGGAACTAGCAGCACCAGTTTTGTCTTTGCAGATACAGTACTGACAAGAGCTTTAGATTTAATTCGGCCATGAATAGAAGGAGAGTACCATGAAGCGTGCATATAAACCATCTTGGTCAAACTGTGGTATGGCTGATGATCATCTCTGGACTAGTTCAGAAGTATCATCACAGTCACTTGAAGGGGCAATCTGGTTCTCTTTGAGGGATGATAGCTCCTTCCTGGGAGGAAGGGTGGGTCTTAGTATTCCTCAGGGAGTAATTGCTCTTTGAACCAAGTGATTGCTGCCAGTTAGGAGGACAGTCTCATTATGGAGGGACTTGACTGCAATAAAGAACAGGCTCTACTATTCTTCCAAGTTTAGGCCAATCACTGGAGACTTCTAGGTCCTGCTGGGGTCACATGAGGGTGGATAAGGGCTTGAACGGGATATTGTAAAAGCTGGTAGTTAAAGCTCTTAGTTACTTTTCTGTTGATGTCTTCAGTTTTAAAGGGGGCTAAGACTACCAGTTTTAGATGAACATTCCTTAAATGATTAATATGTTTGTGGATATGGAGAGTTGAGCAGCAGTCTCACCAAAAGTTTAAGATAATAAAGGCAATAGAAGATGAAGGCCAAAATGCCAAACTTTTATCCTACTTTTGCCCATCAAGTATCTACAGTCCTACATAAAGAATTCTTTTAGTAAAAGCACCTTCTAAGTCCTTGTTACAGTATTATCTATGAATCTTCCTTTTAACAAGAAATCAAGCTTTGCTGATAAAGCGAAACCTCTCTATAAGGACTCATCTTAGGAAGTCCTTCAAAATGCATTCATGTACTAGGATGAGGAAGAGCGAAAACAAACTTTGGAAATTAAAACAAGGAATGCATTAATGAATTTCAAAGGTATCATTCAGATCTTGTGAATGATAAGAATGCTCTCCACTGCCTTTTCTCTGAGTAGAACACAAACAGCTTTAAAAACAGATCAAGTCAATAAATAAAAACCAACACTATTTCAGTTAGCATTAAATTAATCTGCCTTTTTTCTAAACAGGAAACACTCTTTTGATTCACAGTATTATCTGATTTTCATCTACAGAATTTTTCATACTGATTTGCAAAACCAGTATGTTTTAGACAATTCAACAGTAACATCTACCTAATAAAAAAGACACTATATTTCATTGACTGTATTATGTCATAGATGTAATTTAATTACATACCACTGAGAATTAAAAAACAAGTTAATGATATAGCTTAGTTTATGGTTACTTATTTTGTAAACATGGCAAGAAAGCATAAGCTAAATGATTTACTGACATTGTTTTAGGACACAATCAATCTATGGAGTCACTTTTCACTTGGTCATCAATGGGTATTTGTCCAAATGATGGTCTCCATATGCCATTAATATCACTCAGATTTTCTTTTTCAATTGATGCAAAATAAAGAGCATTCTGTTAACCAAGCATGTCTGAGGAACAGCAGCAAAGCTGTATAAGTGCAGGCAATGACAAAACATTACAGCTGCCATTCAGTCATCATGAACTTTAAGGCACTTGTGCATTTCTGCAATGTTGAGTTATGCACCTCACAACAAAATTTAGTACTGGTGGTGTGTACAGCAGGGCTGAAGAACACAATCAAGCTGTCTATAACTTAGGAACATCTTTCACTGTCTCATAAAGGGATAGTTTTATTACGGGGGGATCCACATGATCATTATAATGCACAACTTGCAACCAAAATCGTGAAAATCATCAAAACCATTTGAACAGGAGAGTAAAATACAAAAAGAACTTGCATTATAGTAAGGAAATATGAGTGAGTGTATATGTGTGTACAAGAGGGGTATGCCCACCTACATGTGCTAATATGGAACACAACAGGGATAAAAAAGACTCACTCCAAAATCAGTGAACAACAAATACAAAGAATGCCAATACCTGTAGTTAGGCAAGTATGAATGCAACCTGGTTTTGTTTTACCTGTTTTGGGCCCTAGAAAATAATTCTATCCTTTGGTGTACCTACCGGTAAGTTAAGCAAGTAACAATGGCACAAGATCTGCCAAGATAATAAAAATAACTCATGACCTAGCTCAACATGAAATATGGAAATTAGAATTTGAGTCGTATGACATCTTAATAGCACGGAAGCGAAGAATAAAAAGTCAGGACAGTAACAATTAGTGTAAACATGTGTGTTAAGCTAATGTAAAATTCTATGTTGTACTAGACTTAATCACCGATGTTATTTTCCATCTGTTCTCTACTCCATTTGAGGGGTTTCACTTCACTGAAAATTTTGAGTCATCTATTAAATTATATTCTCCCTCTGTTCAGCTGTACCACTCTGGTTAATAAGAACAGGTTATTGTTGGAATTTTGGAAATATAAGTGATTAGACTTCACATATTTTAACAACTTTCCAAATTTACAGCAAAAATAAAATCAAGATCATTTGAAAGAGGTCTGGAGAACAAATCCACAAACTTTCTCAATTAAGGATGCTAGAGAGCCTGAAAAAAGACTGTATAACTCCTTAGCCTAACACTTCAGACAGAGACAGATGCAAAGAACATTTTATGTTATATGCTATGAAGACGTATTGCCCTGTGAGTAAAGTCTTTAATGTTGTTTCTTTAACATTTCTAAATTTTCAAATTAGCATTACTACTTTGATACTGTCAACACAGATTTACGTTTTTATATTATGGAAATTTTCAAGCACACAAGGTGTGATAAAAATACAATGATTGTTTAAATTTTTTAAAATGAAAGTACTGGGGCTGGGGATTTAGCTCAGCAGCACAGCGCCTGCCTGGCAAGCGCAAGGTCGTGAGCTTGATTCCCGGTACCGGGGGTGTGGGGGGGAGAAGAAAGTATTACAATGAAAGACACACTGACTTAATCTTCCTCAAAATACTCCTCACATCAAATACACTTATCCCATTGTTCTTGCCACTTTCTGAAGCAGCTCTGGAAGTCCTTTGGAAGTGAGTGCCTTTAGTTTTGTTCTCATGCCTGCCTTGATGTCCCAAATTAATTCAAAAAGGTTTACCTTTCAAGGTCGTTTTGACTTTGGGCAAGAGTGAGAAGTGCCAGATACAATGAATAAGGTGGATACGGATATACCATGTTATCAGCCTGCCTTTCATCTGCATGGACTCAATAGCAGCATTGACTGTGGTTTTAATCACACCTTGTAAAGACACTCCGGAACTGCTGCAGAAAGTGGCACGAAGAATAGGGTATGTGTGAAATGAGGGGCGGTGTTCTGAAAGGTACTAAGGGCAATGTGTTCTTTTACTATAATAATTTTTAAACATTCACCATATATTTTAATCACTTCTTGTAAAAAAAGTAGAGAACAGGAAGGTACCTGCCAACCAGCTTCCATAATTAACATATTTCCTATTTTACTTCATTTGTCTCTATAATCCAGCTGCCATCCACCACAAAACACAACTATCACACAATTACTTTTTTCCTTTAGTAAGCACAAATTCTAAACATATCATCCAACTGATACTTTAATATGCATTTCTAAGAACTTTAAAAACATAGTGCCAGGCATGGTGGCGCATGCCTGTAATCCCACCCCTAGGGAGGCCTGAGGCAGGAGGATTGTTGTGAGTTCAAGACCAGCCTGGGCTACAAAGTGAGCTCAAGATCAGCATGAACTGCATAGTGAGATTCTGTCTCAAAAAAATCATACATACATAGTACCACAACTTGACACATAAAAAAATATAAAAAAGCAAAATGAACCCCCACATACCCATCATTCAGTTCAATTAGTCATGAACAATCTTTTACTACTCTACTTCACTTCCATCCCATATTATAGTAATACCTTAGTGTATAAACGGTTTTATTTACAGTTTGGTTCACAAACAAAAGTGTTTGACAAAATTTTACTTTTATTTGCAAACTCCACATCAGGCAACAAACATGACCATGGCCATCTTCCCCACACAAACAGAGCCATCTCCTCCAAACTCATATAGCAAATTAAATTCATAAACCAAGGGACTACTGTATTTTAAAGCAAATTCCAGACATATTTACTTCATGTGTAGTTTGATATATAAGATATCCTTTCAGTTTGATTCAAATTTTCAAACCTGGCCTCATACTGCACTTACTTTTGTCTCTGATAATTCTATAAATATCTCCCTCAATCCTATACACACGTATTTTTTGACCTCTAAACCTGAAGAGTGACCTCACATTCTGGATTGGGTAGTTTTTCTTCCTCATAATATCACATTTCTTGTCATTTGCCATATAATTTTTAAACTGGCAATTAGTTGAACAAACCTGATTAAATTCAGGTCAAATTTCAGACAGAAATACTTCATAAGGAATGTTGCATACTTTCTATGGGGCCATATCAGGAGGTATATGTGTCTGTTTGTCCTGTTTTCAGTGGTGTCAAGTGATGACAGTGACAATCATTTTAGTACATATCATCATGGTTCTTCCAACTCTAAAGACCAGCTTTCACCTAATGACTTTAGCACCTATGTATAATGGCATCAATTATACGAATATGGATTATATAATAATAATTGTCTACTTCTATTTTTTCTTTCACTGTATTAATTGAAATGTTTCCATAATTAAGAACTTGATAACATCAACATCTGGTTACTAGGAAATGATCTGCTGTTTTCACTTTTTTCTCTGCTTGTTTTCTTTATTGTGGTACTGGCAATTGAATCAGGGCCTTGTTCATACTAGGCAAACACTCTACCAGTGAATTACACTCCCAACCACTATAAATTACATCCCCAACCACTATGATTCTTTTATCAATCTTCAAAGTAATGAGCTGGTACAAGCTCTAGTGATTTTAGTAATTATAAACCCATTTACATATTTGGCAATTTAAGTCCATTGTAGTTACTATTTTAGATAACAGAATTATCCCATCTTATTTCAAGGAGAGCCTCTTTTAGTTGGAGTGCTATTTTTTAAAAAAGAAAACATTGAGTTCACTTCAATCCAGATTTGCTATAAAGCAGATCACTGGAGTGAGAGCATCAAGAAACAAATCCATGAACTCAGAATTTATTAGGAAGATGGGGTCAGTAGTGATGGGTCCTCTGGCTGCGCCAAGAAAAATTACTTTGGAAATTTTTTGCCAGCTAAATTGTATCACACATCTTTCTCCATTCTCTGGAATCTTTTAAAGAAACATCCTTCCTGTCAACTCTTCTCTGTTCAATTCTATAGCTCCACAGGTTTTACAGAAATTTCCCAGTACCTTTTTAAAATAGAAAAATAACTCAGCTGCTCAAAGAAGCATTTTTCCCCCTCCTCTGGCAATAAAAATACGAATTTTTATCATCTGACTATTGGTCCCACAGTAGCAGCTTACAGAATAGAAGATAAGGGGGAGGCATAAGTCTTAAGACAGTTTCTTGTCTGTGCATGCTGCAGGCCATCACTCTCTGAGCTATTTACTATCTTCTCTACATGAGGAGACCTGGAAAGTCAATACATGCATGTATTTTGTAAAGCTCATCATTTTAAAGTGAGTAAAAAAGCAAATAAGCTAGTTTCAACACTATTTGATCTTTAGGGGTCTAGAAACACACTATTTTCAAAGTAATATTTTCCATTCCATTTACTTCTTACATGCAGTATAGTGTCCAACTGCCATAGGTCCATAATGACTGGGTATTATAAGGTCATATATATAAGTACTTGCTCCAGGACACAGATAATTCAAAATATTCAAAGCTCTTATGGGAAATTCTATGACCATATAAAGCTCATCTCTGCAGAAACTGTCGTACAATAATCCAAGACCACAGGGAACAACCACATGCAGATCTTGTTTGTGCCCTGTTGATACTTACATTTCGAACAAGGTCCCTTAATGCTCAGTGTCGCTCAAAAGGACAAAAAGAGTGACAATTTTAGAGTTCTACAATGGTGCTACAGACCTTGTCTGTGAAAAAGAAATGCCAAACGTGACACTGACTGGTCTCTATGGAAATTCTGTGGGACTTGTACATATACACGTACGCAGCTTCCCTATTTCTGGGGCAATTCCAAAAAATTTAGGAAGAACCCCACACATTTCAGACACAATTCCATCAGTGGCACAGTATCACAGATGACACTGGATATATCTTCAGGGCTGAGTCTACTGACATTAACAAAGCCTCTATAACGATGCCTTTCTTCAAGGGTACTGGGAGAAGTAAATAGGAATGAGAGCCAAAGATCAAAAAAAATCTTATGACATCCTAGGCAAAGAAAAATGGGTATGAAAAGACCATGGAAAATACGCAGTGTGTCATTCTATAATCTGTAATTTTGCCAGTCTTCCTTTGCCACACATCTGGCCACAAACTGGAATCCTTCAGATTCAAATAGGGCTGCTTCTTCTCTTGGTTCAGATCTTAGTGAAACTCACTTGGCTAAGACAGCCCCCGAGAATCTATTACTGGAAGCCAGAAACCTGAGAAGCAAAATGTCTCACCTGGTTTTCAAACATGTATGGGATCATGTAAATAATCCTCTCTGACTATATCTACTGAGCCTCTACATTTACCCTCTGATCCCCAGTAATGTCTCAATTGCCTTAAGTCCCACATGCATCTTTCAGATGTCAGTCAATGATGCTTAAACTCTGTAAAATTCACGGAACAAGCATTTCTCAGGTCTCTAAGCCCCCCGGCAAGGAACAAGAAACAATATTGCCAACAACTTAAAAAATAAATCAGATTCCTTTCATCAGCCTGAACCATGTTTTCCCTTTGAGGCTCAATTATAAACACCTGGCTCTGGTAGGATTCAGGGTACTAGACTATTTTGTTTGGCTTGTTCAGATGCTCAGAGATATTGCCCGTATAGTACTCATTACAGAGCCAAATCTCATCCTAGGCAAGGATGCTACACAGTTTTCCCCATCTCCTCAATACTGCTTTGCTGAAATGGCAGCTTGGCACAGTGGTGGGGTCACTGTTCTAGAATGCTTCAATTAAAACAAATACACCTCCAATACCATAGTGCTTGACGAACAGCAATGGTGGTTGTTTTAGTGGCTTTGTTGGCCTTCTATGTAGCTACCAATTTAACAACATATTCAAGGACTCAATGGTAAGTAATACACAGTATCACTCAACAATTTAAATGTTATCTTATGACTTGACTTAGGATTTGAGGATTCCAGGGATAACTATTAGGCCAGAAATAGCCTATACACATTCACATTGTATATATTTGAGGTGTTGCAAGTCCACATACTTCACTGTGAAATAATGGAATATTAATCAAATACCATTGTGCTCCCCTGGCCCCAAGTGCATCCATCATCAAGGTCTAAGCTTGAAATTGTGAACTTCTCTGGCCAGCTGTTCTCAGAAGTCTCTGCTTTCTACAGCATCCATGGGGCAGGATCAATTTATCTAGGTACCCACCACAACATGCTGCTATACATTCACATGCCAACTTCTGCCATTTGTTACAGTCTTTTAAAGCTTCTGTGAATTATAGAACAAGATGTTCTAGGCTTATTTATTTTTACCCCTCAAATCTGAAACCAATCATTTATTTCTCTAAGGAACCACAGGTCCCTTATGAGAAAACAGTATATAGGGGCTGGGGATTTAGCTCAGCAGCACAGCGCCTGCCTGGCAAGCGCAAGGTTGTGAGTTCGATTCCTGGTACCGGAAACAAACAAACAAACAAAAAAACCAGTAAGTAATATGAATCCCACAACTAGTCATTTGTACTGAGTTGTCACTGTTTCTAGACCTTATTGGTGTTTATATAAAACAATAAAAATCTGATGAACAAAAAGCAACATACAGGCAAAGGAAACAGCTTCCCATTTACTTTTATACACAGACTATTGGGATAGTTATCTTCTTGAGGACAACTTGTCTCTGCCAGGCAAAGTCTGCATTTAAAAAAAGAAGAAAAAGTATTAAACAGTATACCCAAACATGATATATGTTTTAAAATTCAGGGCTATATGAATAGTTAACAAGTATAAAATTACACTAACTAAATTTCAAACTCACCTCAGCTGAACTTGAACTGTATAATCTCTCCGACCCCCTGGCAAAAAGTCCCTGTTGGAAAAAGTAATAAAATGTGTTAAGAAAGTATAGTAAGATTTTACAGAAGACTTTCACTCAGACAAAGAAGAATTATTTACACTTCAATTCTTACTCCTTAAAAGCTGAACACTTACCTACCAATAGTACAAGCCTTTTTGAGAACACTACAGTGATAATAACCCCCATTTACTTAACTTTTAAGTAATGTTTACACGGAACTTTTAAGGTATTTTCAATTGATAGGAATTATGATGATGCAATAGTTATTTCAACAGACAACAAATTAGATTAACATGAAAAGGAGTATCCTGAGTTTTAAAGGAGTTTAATAAATTAATCTAAGACAAACAACAATGATATGAGCCTCTACATTTACCCAAAATGAAGTGATTCTTCATTTTGGCTGAACATTCTAATCACTTAGAGACTTCTTGTGCATTTAATATAAAGTTCCATTCACCAGATACTCTTCTTTTTTGAGTACAGCCTGACAATACAGCCTGACAGTACAGTTTGAGCACAGCCTGACAAATTGTACATATGACTTAGGTGAGTCTAAAACAGAAACAATGTGTAGACTCCTAGTCTCAAAATCTTTATCTCACAGCATTTTGTAATTATGTATCCAACTACAGACACAGAACCTCTTATAATTTCTGGATTTAAAAAAAAAAAAAAAAAGAGATCCCCATAAAATTCTTCTGATACAGAACCCTCTAAACCTTCCCACTCAAAATGGAGTTCACAATTAAACTAGCAATGTTACTTTTTAGAAGTGCAAGCCCCATCTCAGACCTACACAATTATAATGTGCATTTTAACAAAATCCCCAAGTGATATGTATACACATTATGGAAGTATTATCCTTAGCCATTATCCTGAATCTTGAACATAAAGAGTTGCCCTGTCCTTTGAAACCTAAAGTAGTACAATGTCCCTCACCTTGTTCTAACTAGACAGTCTATGCTCTCTTTCTACTAAGTTCCCTGGAGTGCAGTAAAACAAAGCAGTGACCACCTTGGGATCTATAGTTCCAAACTATATGACTTCACTTAACTTTTCCGTGCTTCTGCTTTTACCTCTGTTAAAAACTGAGAAGTACTGCACCTACAGGATCAAGTTGTGGTGTTAATTACACAAGTTAATAATACAAATAAAATGTCTGGATCTAAGACATAATCAGCAAGTGTGAGCAGCTGGCTATTATTGTTTCCCCTGGTCCAACTGTTTGCCTTGCCACAAGTTCATCCTTGTCAACATTCTCTTCAAACAATTCCAGACAATACTGATCTCTTCTGAGCAACTCTTATCATTCCATTCATTTAAGTCAAGAAACATTACAGTCTTGGCACTGGAGCTTCAAAGACAGTAAGATGTAGTATTCGCTTCAAACGACTAATCAATATATAACCAAAATAGAAATGTGTGGAAAAGAATGTAGTAAGTGCTATAGAGGGGGAGAAGAGATTAATTTTGTCTTTAAAGTTCAAGGGAGCTATGACAATGAATCCAATCAAATTGAAAAGCAAGGTTTGTACAGCAGTTATTTTGTCTACTTCTCTTTAGTGGTTCCCATTATACAATGATTCACAAGAAAAGGAAAGGGTGAGGATCAACTAAGGAATCACATCAAAATCTTGTTAGGTTGGTGAAAATAACTGCACAAAAGAGAAATAACAGGAGATCAGCTTAGAAAGATAAAATGCCTAGCCAGAATACAGGATGCTAAAAAGAGTGATATGAAATGAGATGACTGGGGGTAAAAAAATGGGCAAAGCAAAATAAACTTACAGGATTTAATGATTAACGACACATGAGAAGCAAAGAAACAAAAAAGTGCCTTTGGGATGGTGCTCAGGTTTTGGAATGGTGCAGCTGGACAGCTATTGACACTACACCCTATAGTAAGGGAAGGTCCAACAAGTTACAGCATCAGTCTCCCAATCATCCAGGGAGGAGGAGCATTATTTCAGCTTCACATGCTTGGTAAGTAAGATTTCATGAGATTTAGTCACTTGCCCCAGGGCACACATGCCTAAGAAGTAGAGCCAAATTCACTTTCCACTTGCTATTATTCTTAGCAATCATACTAGCTACCTTAAAGATCGAGTTACATAGTCAAGTTGTAAATCAAGAAAGTAACAGAGAAGAATCAATGGACTGTAAGCAAACTGATGGATGTGGTCAATGAAAAGTGAGATAGCTTCAAGAGATTTCTCTTCAGGCAGACCCAAGTGCCCTCACTGTAGATGAAGAGGACAGCAACAAAAACAGCAGGCAAATAATCTTGACACCAGTTTATTTTTTCAAGTTTGCATCCCTGGTGTATAGAGTTCTCTCTCTCTCTCTCTCTCTCTCTCTCTCTCTCTCTCTCTCTCTCTCTCTCACACACACACACACACACACACACACACACACACACACAGACGCTGAATGACAAAATAAACAAAATAACAAAAGACAAACAGGTATGAGAGAAAGGTATTTTTAAACTATCTGCATGTGCTGCATCTGGAGTGCTTATCGATCATCATGGTAGAACCAGAAAGGACCCTATCCAGAGGGAAGGGTTGGTGGTTTTTTTCAGCCTTCAATAAAAAAATAAAAACATATTCATAGATATGACCCCCAAGTAACAAGGAAAGTATCACAAGTTGATTCCTGGGAATATATAAGACAAGTCAGTAGGAGAAGTGAGAATACATATTAGAAATGCAGTAGTACCAAAGGGAAGACAAAACTGCTGACATTAAAAAAAGAGAGCTGAAACCAAAGATTAGGCTTCACAATATGTAACAAAGCAAAACAGGCTGAATTTGAATTTATGTAAGTTTCTATCCTATATTTTACTAATGTTACAGAGAAAGGGAAGTAGCTGCATACACAGCAGTTTTTGCTGGACACTAGAAACACCCAAAAAGGTTTAAAAACCACCAACCTGAAATGTAGTTCAGCAGCAGAGTGCCTGTCTAGCATGTATGATGAGGTCCTGGGTTTGATCTTCTGGACCCAAAGAAGGAAGGGAAGGAAGTATGGAGGAAGACAGGTAAGAAAAGAAGGGAGGAGTAGGGAGAGAGATCATGCTGATTTGGGCTTCCACCCTTGGAGATGCCAATTTAATTCTTATGGATGAAACTTGGATATTTGGATTAGAATTTTAAAAACCACCTCAGCTGATTTTAAGGTGTAGCAAAGTTTTTAAGCCATGGGGGTAGGCATAATTAAATAACACATGAAATCACATATATCTAGAATATTTAACATACTAAAGTCAAACCATTTTTTTCTTTTTAAAAGCAGGAAATGTTAAAACTATAAAGGGAACTAGATCTCCATGGAGAAGTGATGAATTCCAGAAAATACATAAGACAAACTTACAGAATCTCCTGGTGCCAGAAAGTAAAGAAGTGCTCCAAGGTGGATTTGGGAGAGAAAGGACTACCAAAAGGGCAAACAAGTCAAATCTAAAAGAACCCTAATAACCAAAAGTAGAACAATGAGCCACAATGTAAATTCCTGTATCACTGGGTAACCTACATAACACCTACGAATCCACACTAACAAATACATAAATTAACAAATAAAGGAGAAGGGACAACTGTTCCTTCCAAAAGAATTGCACCAATGTAAAAATAAGGACAACAGAAAATCTCCACCAGAATACAAATGTTTTGCTCATTTACCATTGAATACTAAACTAACTAGTGGGTCAAAGTTTGAGAAGAAACAGAATATATGCCTAATCTAAAACTGTGCGGTTTTAGGAAAATGGATGCACCTTGAGACCATACTCTTAAGTGAAATAAATCAGACACATAATACCACACTGTTTGTCTGGTGTGAGAAACCAAAAGTGTAAGGACCAAAATGTATATAATAGGTACTGTGAATTAGGAAGAAAATGTTCAAATGGGGAGGGGAGGGAGAAAAGAAAGAAGGGAAAAGTTAAAAAAAATGAGAAAAGAAGGAAAACATGGAAACAAAGCTTTTGTAAATGGGGAGGGGAGGAGGTACTGAAGAGGGTTAGGGGAATGGAGAAAAAAAAACAAGTTATACCATGTACAGGTACAAATTCTCTATGATGAATGTGATCATTACATATACCTAAAATGTACTAATAAAATCTGATTAAAAAAATAAAAGTGTGGTCCAGGACATTTATAAATAACAAAGAAAAAGCCAGTAACTCAACAGAAATCAGGCAGACAATACCGTGGCCAACTGATCATGGTTACTATCGCCAAAAAAAGATTTATCAATATTAAAGGCTGACATGATACACTGAGAAGAGCAGTTCTGCCAAAAATACACAATGTGAATGTAGACATTCAAATACCACATATAAAGGAACTGAGCAGCAGTCTACAAAACCCCTGATCACTATTCTTCAAAACTGTCAAAAGTCGTAAAAGAAAAAACTAAGACACTGTCACTGAGCGAAAGGAAATTAGGATGACATTACAATTTAAAAGTATACTATATATATTATACAATTTAAAGTATTATAGTTAATAGGATTGTATTGTTATTTCTTGGTTTTGGTAACTATACTACAGTTACTCAAGCTGATGGTGGAAGCTAGGTGAAAAGCGTATGTTTTTACAAGTTATGTGTATATCAATTCACTTCAAAACAGAAAGTTAAAAAAACATTTAGGATACATTGAGGTCAAAAGTAATACATGGGTGCCAGGTGTGACGGTGTATGCCTGTAATCCCAGTACTCAGGAGGCTGAGGCAGGATTACTGTAAGTTCAAGGCCAGCTTGGGCTGCATAATCAGTTCAAAGCCACGTTGTACTACACAGCAAGAACCTGTCTCAAAAAACAAAACACAAAAGGTAACACGTGAGCCCTATAGAAATACTAAAATAACTGAGAAAATCTAAATATGTCTGAATATTATATAAGATCAATGAATTTCTGAGGGTTCATGTTAAAAATCAGAGTTGCATCTCTTAAATATTTCTGTATTAAATTATACAATACCTATTATTTGCTTTAATTGCTTTAATAAGCTTCAAGGGAAAAAAGGTAGGGATATAAAATACAGCGGGCCAAAATGTTGGTAACTACTGAAGCTAGATAATGGGTACCAAACTTTTACTTTCATTTATTAGGAAATTAGGAGGGAATTGTTATCATTTGATCACATAACTCTAAAATAATTGAGATTTATAACACACACTTGTATGAAGTGAGCATTACTTTCTAGATGTTTTTTAAAAATGTTTATGATAGGGTTACATATACATAAGATAAATTTTATCAAAATAATCATTTTTAAGTGTTCAAATCTGTGGAATTAAGTACATTTATACTATTGTGCAACCATCACTACCATCCATCTTCAGAACATGATTAAAAATTTTAAAAATAAATGCTTAAATTTTAATCATTTATTTCTTGATCAGAAAATACACTCACATGCTTTGAACCTCAAAAATATATATATATAAAAGAAAAAAAGGTTATTGACATAGTCTCCATAATGGCTCCTAGAAGCAAGTTCCCCTTTAAAGCAGCAGCTCATCTTTATACTTAATATAAATATTTGCAGCTGGGTACAGTGGCTCATGCCTGCAATCCCAGCTACTAGGGAGGTTAAGGCAGGAGGATCTCAAATTCAAGGCCAGTCTGAGCAACCTAACGGGAGACCCTGGGTTCAATCCTCAGTACTGCAAAAAAACAGACAAAAAAACTTTTTTCACATATTTACACACTTCAGCAGATTTTGTGTGTGCAGAAAGTATCTTTTTAAGACAACTGGTAGAACTTTATTCAGAATTACTTAGTTCATTTAATTTTCATTTTAAAAATGTTTACGTGCATGTATCTAAATCTATTTACTTTAACCTCCTTCCTTCAAAAGCCCACACCACCGAAGTTAACAATGATCTCTCTCCTATAAAACTGAGCTCAATTAGTACTCATTAATGAATTGGGTCTCCATGTAACATCTTGCAATGCTCACAATTTATATAAATACGCTGGTTCATTAAAAATACAAGCAACTTGAAAGGGTTCATGTGATATGACACAGTGCCATGTACTAATAAACATGACCTCAAGCAAGAACTCATTGATGAATAACAAAATTAAGGTCAACTAACGAATTTTTGGACATAAAGTATTTTTATTTTTTTCTATTTTATTAATTGGTTTATTACTTCCCTAAAATAGCCAAGTCTGTCTCTCTATGTATGCCTACACTTCAGGGGCTCATACTTCACAGGTTCATATTATAAAGACACTTTCAGACTTTTATTGAGTCCTATAATTTTAATAAAAGGGATAGTATTAGCCAAAGAATCTAAAGTTATGTCTCAGAACCTTCCACATAACAGTGCATGTTCAAGATGTTAGGTGTTCAAAAAAATTGTGTGGTCCATAAGTGTGTATCCACTAATTTAGGAGATTGATAATGCACACCTACATATTAAAAACTGATAATCTGGCTATAGAGAACTTATACAATTAAGTTAAATATAGAAATTTCTCTAACTCAATCATGGCACCCTTATTTAAAAAAAAAAAAAAAAAAAAAACTGAATGACTCGAAATCTTCTAAGAAATAGTTGAAACTAATTTTTTTTTAACTCTACAGTTCCAGAAAAGCATTTTACCTACAAGAATCTCAATTTTCCTACAGTGAGTCTTCTAAGGAGTGAATTTTAAAGAGCCATATAATGTACTGCTAATACCAAAAAGGACTATTTTTATTTGAAAAAGTATACTCTACAGACTTCCTTTTCCACCTCTTAGTTCATTGCTCTCTACAAACGTACCAACTTAAAAGTGTCTATTTTTTTCTCTGAAACTGACAAGACTAACAGTATTTTCATAATCAGATTTCTAGTAATTTTTGGTAATGATAACTAAACAACTCATTTTGCCCCAAACTGTTCTGGGTTTTGTTCTCCAAGAAAAATTAATAACGTTCACTGACAGTCTCAAAAATGCCTGAGTTTGAAATGATAAAGTTTATGCGCACTTACCTTTGTGCTGGTACCATAAATTCTTTTTTATGTTGCTGTATTTAGAATAAAATTTTCATTTAAAATGTTATTGTTGGGCTGAGGATATACCTAGTGGTAAAGCATTTGCCTAGCACATATGAAGCACTCAAGGCCCTGGGTTTATCTCCAGCAATGAGGAAGAAAAAAAAAAACCAATCCATCTATCTAGCTATCTAGCTATCCAAGTGTGATTAAAATAACGTAAAAAGATATTCTGAGGTTTTATTCAAAGATTAAATTTTTCTAGTACAGACTATTAAATATTCAATCAAAGTATCCTCCCCTTACTTCAGAAACAGTCCAATGTTATAGGGGAACAAAATGTATTATGCTGAAACCTTAACCCCCAATGTGACTACATTTGTATATAGGACCTTTAAAAAGGCAATTATGTTTAATGAGGTTTAGGGGAGGTCCCTAATCCAACAAAGCTGGTGTCATAAGAGGAGAAAGACATCAGCGATGCACTGGCATAGAGGAAAGGCTACACGAAAAAATAGCAAGATGTGCAAGCCAAAGACAAAAGCCTCAGGAGAAAACAAATCTATCCCTCCCTTGATCTTGAACAGAAGCCTCCAGAATTTCAAACAATAAATTTCCGTTGTTTAACCATCCTGTCCCTAGTTTTCTACTAATACACAACATTCACACAGAAACAAGTCAAACATTCCTCTTACCTCGATATGCATATTTCTCTAACCTGTTGAGGTGTCAAAGCAAAAATAAAGAATTTCTCTTGAAATCGTTGAATACTGCTTTGAACTGGAGAGGAAAAAGAAAGAATATTTCAATGACAAATCCAAGGATCTAAGCACCTGCAATAACCAGGTATTCAAATTCCAAAATGTTTGCGTTTAAAATGCTCTAAAATCAAAAAGTACTAAACTGCATTCATCTTGGAATTAGGGGTTAAGTTAATCCAAGCTGGTTTCTTGAATTTTAAGCATTTAATAAATCTTTATGCTAAAACATTAATTATAATACAGTCAAAATGTAACAAAATCCTTCAAGATTACATTTCATCCTTTATAGTACCATCTAATGAAAACTCCCTTGTGTAAAAAGCACAGATAGCTTAATACAGCAGTTATGCCCCAGAAATCATACCATCAAGTGGTTCATATCCTGAAGAGTACTTTTAAGAGGAAAGAAAGCAATGCTGGGGGCTGGGGATTTAGCTCAGCGGCAAAAGCGCCTGCCTGGCAAGCGCAAGGTCGTGAGTTCGGTTCCCGGTAAGGGAGAAAAACCAAAAAACCAAAAAGAAAAAAAAAAAAAAAGAAAGCAATGCTGTCTATTATGAAGGTCTAAAAAAACAATTTTAGGTTACAAACACGATTATGAGGAATAAAGACAAAGACAACTGTAGCCAATATGTCTCCCTACTTCATCAAATTCCTATTCACTCCTCCATCTTTTCTCTTGTATGGACTTTGTTTTCCACTATCTATGGCTAAAGTCACCAATGACCTCTTAACTGTTAAATTTAATAACCTGAATTTGAGATTACATGTGAACACACATTTTCAACCTTAGTTAATGGCATAGTGGCCGGAAACCTCAAAAGATCTAAAATAGCACAAATGGAGTCCCAAAAGGGAAACAAAGTGAAAATGGAACTGCCCCAAAAATCCCAACAAAAACTTGCAGAAGTAATTTTGGTTTAGTGGGGGGAATGATCAGACTCCAAGGAAAATAACAAAGAAAACTACCTAGTCGCATCAAAATGAAACTACTAAAAACCAACGATCAGCTGGGCATGGTGGTACAAGCCTGCAACCCCACTACTCTGGAGGCTGAGGTAGGAGGACCGCTGCAAGTTCAAGGCCAGTCAAGGATACATAGTGAGTTCAAGGCTAGTCTGAAATACACAGCAAGAGCCTGTCTCAATTAAAAAAAAAAAAAAAAAAAAAAAAAAAAAAACAACATAAAATCTTAAAAACAACCAAA